CGAGGGCGCCATCGACATTGCCAAGTTCCGAGCACTGCGCCGGCTCGAAGTAAACAAAATCAACATTGGCCAGGTGGTGGGCATACAACCATTGCGCGGCCAGCTGCAACACCTGATCTGCGTAAAAAGCATCACCAGCGTGGACGACATTATCACTCGCTGCGGCGGGGACAACTCCAATGGCTTTGTGTGGAACGAGCTAAAGGCGGCCGATTTTAGCTACAACAGCCTGCGCAGTGTAGACACCGCCCTGGAGTTCGCACAGCACCTGCAACACCTAAACCTTCGGCACAATAAGCTCACCAGCGTTGCCGCCATCAAATGGCTGCCGCACCTAAAGACCCTGGACTTGAGCTACAACTGCCTTACGCACCTTCCACAGTTCCACATGGAGGCCTGCAAGCGACTACAGCTACTGAACATCAGCAACAACTACGTAGAGGAGCTTCTGGACGTGGCAAAGCTGGACGCTCTGTACAACCTGGATCTGTCCGACAACTGTCTGTTAGAGCACTCGCAGTTGCTGCCGCTGAGTGCCCTGATGAGCCTGACTGTGCTAAATCTGCAAGGAAATCCGCTTGCTTGCAATCCTAAACATCGCCAGGCGACAGCGCAGTATTTGCATAAGAACTCCGCAACTGTGAAGTTTCTTTTGGACTTTGAGCCACTGTCTAAGGCGGAGAAAGCGCTGACGGGCAGCCAAAAGTTGCGCTACATTTGCGCGCTTAACCACCGCTCGCCCAGGAGTACCTCCGTGTCCATCAACAGCTCTACTGCTTCCATAAACACCAGCGACGGCTCGCAGTTTTCAAGTTTCGGCTCGCAGCGTTCAGTGTCTGTAAGGGGAAAGAACTACGCGTTGGAGGACAATCAGTCGATATCAATGGACACCTCGCAATCTAGCAAAGTGATAAGTGCGTGTAAGATCAGGACAGTGGACATAGAAGAATGCAGTGAGATCGATGCAGACGCAGCATCCGTTTCCACGCGAAATCCTCGATCCGACTGTGAAGAAGAAGCCGATAACTCTCACCTGGAGACCAAGAAAAAAATCGAGACACTACGTCTCACTTATGGCAATGAGTGGTTGAAGTCCGGCAATGCTGAGCTGATGCTGGGAATCGATACACCACAGCCAACTGAACAGGAGCGCATCGAGTCTCGCCAGCTTTTTAATGAGTTCCTGGGTGAGCTATCTGGATCCACAGAAGCGAGAACCGCCTCTGAACACCACAACATTAGCTCCACACCCACGAACAGTGCGTTGTTAGCTACCACCTTTGAGACCACTATAACACCGATAAAGGCGGAAGCGAACAATTCAAATGAGGAAACTCTTTATGAAACCTGCACTGAGGGCGAATTGACAGAATACGAGAGTATGGGCAACATGAACTCCACTACGGAGCTATCTGCAGAAGGACGACCGCCTGACAGACACGAGGAATTGTTGCGGCTTTATGCAAGTAGCTCAAATGCTCAGGATGAGGATCCAGGTAAGACACGTTGATTAGTGCGGTAACTCGTTGCTAAATGTATACCCGAACATTACAGTATCCGATGCTGAGTCTGATGAGGAGACCTACATAGTCTACCATGAACAGAAACCGAGCGAGGCTCTGTTTCTCACCATATCATCGAATTTTATACGCGAAAAAGACACGTTATCTGAAAGGTAAGTTTAACATTAAATGAAGAGAATGTTCGTTTCATGTTCCCAACATTTTCGTTTACTATACAGGACAAAAGCCAAATGGAGTCTAAAAATCCTGGAATCATGCGAGCGCGTTAGGTCCAACACCTTGCGAATCAATTTCGACACGATGCGAAAGGATAGACAAGAGCGTATTTATTGCGTGGAGAATACGCTTTGTCAGGTTAGTCAACTGATGAATTCTGATGAATAACAGGCAATTCAAATCTGGTTTATTTATATGAAGGAACTGGAAAAGAAACTGCGACACATTCTATCGCAGCGTGATCTAACCGAAATGAACATATCCATTTATCGCTGTGTGAATTGCTTAACTCAATTTACTATTGAGCAAAAAAGCAAGCGATATAATACAAAGGGTGAGTACAGGAGAAATAAAAGAAACTTACTTTAATTGCATTTGTTTTAGAATTGCGATGTCCGGATTGTCGCAGTGTTTATGTAGCTGAAGTAACCGAGTTATCCTCATCTTTGACCAAACCTTCTGGAGAAGTGGTGGCGGAGCCCAAACTTTCGCCCGCCATGATTGTGGAGGAATCCCCAGTGGAGGCATTTGCTGAGGCGACAAATAAGGAAGAAAGCAACAGCATTGGCAAGTCCTTGGCCAGTTTTCTTTTTTACTTTGATGATGTTCTAGAAAATTTCTAAAGATTATTGCTTTTGTAGTTCAGTTTATGGTTTCAGAAGCATTTCATTAGTTATGCAGCCATTTTTTGAGATTCGCTATGGTTTTTGTTGTATTTGGTGAATAATTTTAAGTTTGTGTTGGATATATTTACTGTACATTAATTTAATTTTTATTTCTTTTTATTTTATTTGCATGCGAACACAAATCGAAAATGGCAAAACCAATCTAACTTTTGTATATTTACATTGTTCTTTTGGACTTTTTCTCTCACCCAACTACCGACAACAATAACATTGTTGTGATGTAAAAACTTAATTAATACTTTAGTGGCCAACTGCAGGCTTACAACTGCAAAAAACACACCCAAGCTTAGGAGTTTGATGCAAGCCACTAAAAGTTAATATGCCAATTTGTATACTTTTTTATTTCACTAAACAATTTGCGTTTTGCTTTTGTTCTGTAATGTGAAGCAGCATTTGGACGTGAGGCAAAGATAAGCTAACTCACTAATAGTTCTCGGACCTGAAGGTCTTATACACGTCTTATAAATTTATATTGCACGTCTTGAGCCCTGGTACCCAAAATTATGTATTATCTGAAACAAAATTTAGCGCATTATAAGACCTGTAGATACCGGCAAATATATCAAAATTTAAGTAATATATAAAGCTTTATTAATCATAGAGAGCAATGCTGCTTCCATTAAAAATCATTTGAGTTAATTCGACCACCTGACTAACGTTTTAACATTATAGGTTCCGCCAATTCGCTAAATGAGAGCAGCTCTTGCTCGAAAATTACCAACTCACAGAGCTCCTTCGACTCCAATCAATCCGTAGTGGGCAGCTCGAACACGGATCGCGATCTAGAGTTCCGGGCAAACGAAAGCGATGTGGACATCATCTCCAATCCGAGCCAGTCCAGCATAGAGGTACTAGACCCAAACTATGTGCAGAGCGCCAGTCGCAAGACCTCAGAAGAACGCCGCATATCCCAGCTACCGCATCTGGAGACGATACGCGATGAAGTAGCGAGCTCGCAGAACTTCATCGAACGCGAGTTTGGACAGCTTCTGGCGGAGCAGGCTCAGGCCACGACACCTTCTGGTGCAGCTCCCGTGGCTCCTGCAAAGTCGGCTGTTTCCCATGTACCGCTTACAGAGAGCAGCTCGTCGGGATCCGTAACGGACAGCATATGTACTACCTACGAGCAGCAGGGCAATGAAGCGCCACAGAATCTAAAAAATTCCCTGCTTACCGAGTCGTCAAACAGCCAAGTCAGTGGCTCGGACGCGGAGTCTAATAGCCGTTTGAAAAGCGCTGAGGAGGCCAGCCTGCTGCCCTTCGCATCCGTATTTCAGTCAACCAATCTGCTCATGTCCAGCTCAAAAAAGCTGATCGAATCGGAGGCAACTGTCTTTGGCACCCAGCCGTACAAGTTTAACTACATCGACTTCAATGATATCGACCACCGTCTTAAGCTCTACTTCTACCAACGGAAGTTCAAAGAGGATGGCGAGCATTTCAAGTGGCTGGCCAAAGGTCGCATCTACAACGAGCAGACCCAGTCCTTGGCAGAAGGGCTCGTGGTAATGTCCAACTGCAAGTGCTACCTAATGGAGGCATTTGCAGAACCCCAAGACGATGTGGCCAAATGGTTGCGGCAGGTCATCAGTGTGGCAGTCAACCGTTTAGTGGCCATTGATTTGCTGCCCTGGAAACTTGGCTTGTCCTTCACCTTAAGGGATTGGGGAGGATTTGTCCTGCTTTTGCATGACATGCTGAGGACCGATAGTTTACTGAATTATTTACAAAGTGAGTGAACTTTTCGGATGTTCTTCTTTTGCTAAAACTAATTGTTTTCCCACAGATAATTCTCTGCCTGAGCAGTGCAAACTGAATCACCAACCATCCCCCACACTCAGCCATCAGTTGGATACCATTGCGTCCGAAACAGTCAAGATGTGCTCCCTGATTCCCAGCTGCCAATGGATTTGTGACCAGGAGAAGAGCAACTTTGAACCATCCCTGCTCCTGATCACGGAGTCGCATTTGTACATCTCAGGAAACGGCAAATTCTTGTGGCTGTCAGATAAAATTCAGGAAAAGCCTATTCACCCAGAGGTTAGCCTTAATCAGCCATTGAGCAATTTGGTGGACGTGGAGCGCATTACAGACCACAAGTATGCGATCAACTTTATTGATGAGACGCAAAACAGGTGCGAGATATGGCAGTTGCAGTTCGAAACGCATGCCAATGCCGCGTGTTGCCTGAATGTCATCGGAAAAGGTTGGGAGCAGCTATTTGGAGTGCCATTCAGTCTCTCTGGAACGTAGTGCGGGTTTATTCTCGAGGAATTAATAAGTGAGGAGAGGATTTAACTAGAAAATTGAATACAGCCTGTTCCAATTATTGTGCAAAGTTTAGAATTGTTGATCTTAATTGACTATGTTATTTAATGTCAGATTAGTTTTATTAACTTAGGCTAGATCTTTGAATCAATAAGAAATGGTGCTGTACCACGATTTAAATGTATATATTTATAAATATAGAGGTTATTATTTTTTGGAGTCCTTGCAATATATTCAGATATTACAAAAATAAATTGTCCAACTTGTTTAAATTTTTTTTATGAGATACTGTTTGGATTAATAATTGATTGACATATTTACTTTTATTTACATTTACCCATATACATAATGTTTTCGGGAACAACATAACTACAATATTGTCAGGAATTTTGAATGCTAATGAAATAATAATCACACTTGAGTCATAAATGTTTTATACATCTATACTCGGTCCGTTCAATTTTTGTGCTATCTACTTAAATTTCGGCATAGAGGTTTATGATTTATGTTTTAAATCGGCCGACTTATAGCAAAACTCTATGTACAGTGCACTTTTTATCCTGACTCACATCGAATTGACCACTTAACTGGCGCCTTACTTATCGCCCAGCTGATCTGCGATCCAGTCAAGGTGTTCCTCCTTGAAGCGAGGATCTGCCATGGTCAGAGCCGTCGACTTGGAGCTGTAGTAATAGAAAACGGACACTGTGGGGGAGAGGAAAACATCAGGGTAAGCATGGAAGGAATATTTCCGGAACTCACTGATTCGCTGTCCCACTGACAGGGCAATCAGCCCCAAAGGCCATTGTTGTCCGTCCTCTGCTGGCGGCTGACGGTATAGGTAGATGATCCAGAAGTGCTGGGCGGCGGACAGCAGGAAGTAGATGGTAATGCTGGCCATAAAGAGCTTGCAATTCCGCAGGATTATGTGGGAGGCGCCGACCTGGTACACACACGTCGAGTGCAGCGCGAGGGTGAACAGCAGGTACTCGGCGATGATCAGGGCATCCTGGGTGCTGTGGTAACATGCAGTGGTCACAAACAGAGGCTCCTCGACTACCCAGGATACTCACACAAAGAGAATGATGGCTGTCTGCAATCGGTTCCTGGCCAGCGAAGGACCAAAGGCGTTGCAGAAGAGGTCCAGCCCCAAAAGGGCGAACTGGAACAGGAGCACCCAGGAGTAGCGACGCAGAGTTAGCTTCATGGCGGTGTCCAAATGTCAAGCGCTTCGGCCAATTTGTTGCGTGCTTACTGTGCGTGGGTTTGTTGTGTCCTTCGTCCTGGTGACGTCAAAGCTACCACTGCGGTCATGCGCTGTTGGGCTCGTACTATTTGCTTATCGATAGGCAGATTTTCATGGAGAACTATGCAAACCAGTTTGAAGTCAGGTGGCAGGCAGTGGCGGGAACCGAACTGGGAATGTATTATTAGAACCCAGCTCTCTCCTTCCAAATACATTCAGGATACAAGTAGTACTAATAACTAAAGGTAACACTTGGTTGCTTTTATTATCAGACATATCGAGCATATTCAAAAGGGTACTGCTGCCGTTTTCCCGATCCGAATGTGCCCATCTTGCCCGCCTGGCGCCGGAATCTCCTGTAGTACTGCTGGTTCATCTCGGAGTAAAAGTTTACGGGCAGTAGGTGGGACCAACTGTGGTCGCCTGCGGCACTGTGTCGGTCCAGAAACTGGAACATCGATGCGGAAGTGACTTCGGCAGCCCCTGCGCGCCACCATGGCCAGGTTGGATTTAAGGTCACCAGAGCCAAGACCAGAAACCAGAACGTCAACGTCTTAGCCATTTGCGAAGAGAGCTGGTTGGCCAAAAGCCGGCACCCAATACCCTCCTCCAAAGTCGACTGCAGGTTGCAGGTCGTCAGCAGATTTCGAGCTGCGGTGCTTCCATTTGCATTTTTTCGGCCCACAGTCGCACTACTCCGGCAGTGCGATCAGCGTTTTCCGAGTGGGCTATAAAGTGGATTGGCTGGGTGGCTACCACCAACAGTCACCCTTCGTTCGCCACTTCAGCAGCAAGCAGAGACAGCTCGAGAACCATCCACAATGGCATTCAACTTTGGTCACCTCCTCATCGCCGGCCTCGTCGCCGTGTCCGTCGTGTCCTCGGAGACCATCCAGCTGCAGCCCACACAGGGCATCCTCATCCCTGCCCCGCTGGCCGAGAACATCCGTGTGTCGCGTGCCGCCTACGGAGGGTACGGAGCTGCCCCAGCTGCGCCATCGTACTCCGCTGCTCCCGCTGCTTCCGCCTACTCCGCTCCCGCTGCCCCGGCCTACTCTGCTCCAGCTGCCCCCGCCTACTCTGCTCCCGCTGCCCCCGCCTACTCTGCTCCCGCTGCCCCCGCCTACTCCGCTCCCGCTGCCCCCGCCTACGCTGCTCCAGCGGCACCAGCCTACTCCGCACCCGCCTCCATTCCGTCGCCGCCGTGCCCCAAGAACTACCTGTTCAGCTGCCAGCCCTCCCTGCAGCCCGTGCCCTGCTCCGCCCCAGCTCAGTCCTACGGATCCGCCGGTGCCTACTCCCAGTACGTGCCCCAGTACGCCGTGCCCTTCGTCCGTGAACTTTAAGGATGCGACCGAATCTGACTGGACTACTGAACCTATGAATAAAGTAATGCTTATATAAAAAAATCATTTAAGAGTTTTTATTTATGGGGTCATCCAAGGGTTTTAGAGATTTGGACAATCGGTTTTTCTTCTTCAAGTTTCAGCTCACTGTTTTATTATAATAATAATTATTATCGATTTGATAAAACGAATACATGAATGTTTTACTAGTATATTTGTTTTTTAAGGGAACAAGCGTTCCTAACTAAAACCTAGATTTACATTTTTTTTTTTTTGTGTAAAAATGCACTTGTTATTATTTATAAAAGTCATGTCCCAATATTACATATGGTGGTACTATCATTTCTAAGCAGGAAAGAGAGAATGCGAAACTTATTAAAAAGATTATTGTTAATCTGATTTTAATTTAATAGTTCCCAAAAAAAGTAGTAAATAAGAATTGGCAAATTAAAAAGGTTGAAAAATCTTGGTAAAATTCAGTTTATTAACGATCATCTAGTTCATCAATATGAGCTGTGCCCACATGGAACGGGCTTGATAACCGCTTCACAGGAGAACACATAGTTTTTGGGGCAAGTTGGAGAAGGAACTTCACTGAGTGTGCCTTGCTGTTGGTATGTTCCCTGGGCCGGTGCCTCCTCATCCGCCTGGTCGTAGCTGCGGGCAAAGCCAAATTTGCCACGTCCGAAGCCAGGACCTCCAAACCCGGGACCTCCGAAGCCGGGTCGTCCAAAGCCAGGACCTCCAAAGCCAGGACCGCCGAAGCCAGGACCTCCGAATCCTGGACCTCCAAAGCCAGGTCCCCCGAAGCCAGGACCCCCAAAGTTGTTCTCCACGATAACCTCCTGTAGGATCTGCTGTTGCCTCCTCCTACGATTCAGTTGCTGATCCGAGTGCTCGGCAGCTGATGACCTCAAACACCCAGTACCCCCGCCACACGTCGACGCTGCAAAGCCAGTCTGCTGACCCAGAGAACTCGCTGCGCCCAGAACGGCAAGGAATCCGAGATACTTCCACATGCTGACTTGATATGGCGGCGGTGCTAGCTGAGAAAGCCAAGATGCGGCGGTGTTCAAGTGGCTTTTATAACCTCATGCCACCAGAAGTGCACAACGAAGCGGAAGCGGAGATGGCCAAGGTAACCCCCAGCAACTGGGTCAGTTGGTCGCGCATTCCAGAGGGCGCGTGGGATCACAACTGGGGCGAAGTTGGAAGTTCGAGAAAATGGGGCATGGAGCTTGGGATGGGGCTAATCTGCGGGGTGGACCCGTGCCATTACTTGGCTGGGCTCGGAAACCCTACGAGCACCTGAAACCCGAAGGTCAGCACATTGTAGCCACCGCTGCTTTCCGGCTTGTAGGCTGACCGCCCAGTCAAGCGATTGATGGGATCCGATATCGCATTACCCAATCGCTTGCACTTTTCACTTTTCCGCTTTGTCGATGTTTCGGATGTGTCGCAAGCATTTCTTCTTGCTAAAATATATATATTTATAAAAAACATATGTATATTAGTATAAAATGTATATATGTGTTTTAGATTTGTAGCTGCATTTCCAGCGGTTCAGTGACCTAAGACGCGCTGCTTGGCACAAAGGTTAAACGGAAAGTTTGCTTGGTTGCAATCGCCTATATCTGCGGATTTGGATGAAATTATTTTTGGGCAGCCTCGAATTGCATAAATCGGACTTTGAAGTCCCTCTAAATGTTTCTGGCGTAATTCTCCAAAACTCTGCATTTAAATTTAGAAAAAAATTTTTTTCATTTTTTTGATGTTATGATGTTGTAGAAATTCAAAAGAGTTCAAAAATGTCCCAAGGCTGAAGTTCTACACTCCATAACTCAACCTATTTTAATCGGATTTTTTAAGTATAATACCTCTAAAAGATTCTGGCGTAATTCTCTAAAAATCTGCATTCAAATTTAAAAATTTTTAAAAAAAATTTTTTTTTTAATTTTTTTGATGTTATAATGTTGTAGAAATTCAAAAATGTCCCAAGGCTGAAGTTCTACACTCCATAACTCAACTTATCTTAATCGGATTTTTAAGTGGCATACCTCTAAATGTTTCTGGCGTAATTCTCTAAAACTCTGCATTTAAATTTAGAAAATAATTTTTTTTCATTTTTTTTTCATTTTTTTGATGTTATGATGTTGTAGAAATTCAAAAGAGTTCAAAAATGTCCCAAGGCTGAAGTTCTACACTCCATAACTCAACTTATTTTAATCGGATTTTGAAGTGGCATACCTCAAAATGTTTCTGACGCTATTCTCTAAAAATCTGCATTCAAATTTAGAAAAATAATTTTTTTTCATTTTTTTTGTAATTTTTTTGATGTTATAATGTTGTAGAAATTCAAAAATGTCACAAGGCTGAAGTTCTACACTCCATAACTCAACCTATTTTAATCGGATTTTGAAGTGGCATACCTCTAAATGTTTCTGACGCAATTCTCTAAAAAGTTGCATTCAAATTTAGAAATTTATTTTTTTTCAATTTTTTTGTAATTTTTTTGATGTGTGATGTTGTAGAAGTCCAAAAAATATCCCAAGGCTGAAGTTCTATACTCCATAACTCCACTAATCTTAATCGGATTTTGAAGTGGCATACCTCTAAATGTTTCTGACGCAATTCTCTAAAAAGTTGCATTCAAATTTAGAAATTTATTTTTTTTCAATTTTTTTGTAATTTTTTTGATGTGTGATGTTGTAGAAGTCCAAAAAATATCCCAAGGCTGAAGTTCTATACTCCATAACTCCACTAATCTTAATCGGATTTTGAAGTGGCATACCTCTAAATGTTTCTGACGCAATTCTCTAAAAAATTGCATTCAAATTTAGAAATTTATTTTTTTTCAATTTTTTTGTAATTTTTCTGATGTATGACTTTGTAGAAATTCAAAAAAATTTAAAAATGTCCCAAATCTGAAGTTCTAAGCTCCATAACTCAACTAATCTTAATCGGATTTTGAAGTGGCATACCTCTAAATGTTTCTGACGCAATTCTCTAAAAAGTTGCATTCAAATTTAGAAATTTATTTTTTTTTAATTTTTTTGTAATTTTTTTGATGTGTGATGTTGTAGAAGTCCAAAAAATATCCCAAGGCTGAAGTTCTATACTCCATAACTCAACTAATCTTAATCGGATTTTGAAGTGGCATACCTCTAAATGTTTCTGACGCAATTCTCTAAAAAGTTGCATTCAAATTTAGAAATTTATTTTTTTTCAATTTTTTTGTAATTTTTTTGATGTGTGATGTTGTAGAAGTCCAAAAAATATACCAAGGCTGAAGTTCTATACTCCATAACTCCACTAATCTTAATCGGATTTTGAAGTGGCATACCTCTAAATGTTTCTGACGCAATTCTCTAAAAAGTTGCATTCAAATTTAGAAATTTATTTTTTTTCAATTTTTTTGTAATTTTTTTGATGTGTGATGTTGTAGAAGTCCAAAAAATATCCCAAGGCTGAAGATCTATACTCCATAACTCCACTAATCTTAATCGGATTTTGAAGTGGCATACCTCTAAATGTTTCTGACGCAATTCTCTAAAAAATTGCATTCAAATTTAGAAATTTATTTTTTTTTAATTTTTTTGTAATTTTTCTGATGTATGACTTTGTAGAAATTCAAAAAAATTTAAAAATGTCCCAAATCTGAAGTTCTAAGCTCCATAACTCAACTAATCTTAATCGGATTTTGAAGTGGCATACCTCTAAATGTTTCTGACGCAATTCTCTAAAAAGTTGCATTCAAATTTAGAAATTTATTTTTTTTCAATTTTTTTGTAATTTTATTGATGTTATGTTGTAGAAATTCAAAAATGTCACAAGGCTGAAGTTCTACACTCCATAACTCAACTTATTTTAATCGGATTTTGAAGTGGCATACCTCAAAATGTTTCTGACGATATTCTCTAAAAATCTGCATTCAAATTTAGAAAATAATTTTTTTTCATTTTTTTTGTAATTTTTTTGATGTTATAATGTTGTAGAAATTCAAAAATGTCCCAAGGCTGAAGTTCTACACTCCATAACTCAACTTATCTTAATCGGATTTTTAAGTGGCATACCTCTAAATGTTTCTGGCGTAATTCTCTAAAACTCTGCATTTAAATTTTTTTTTTTGATATTGTAGAAATTCAAAAGAGTTCAAAAATGTCCCAAGGCTGAAGTTCTACACTCCATAACTACACCTATTTCAATCGGATTTTGAAGTGGAATACCTCTAAATGTTTCTGGCGTAATTCTCTAAAAATCTACATTTAAATTTAGAAAATAATTTTTTTTCATTTTTTTTTTCATTTTTTTGATGTTATGATGTAGAAATTCAAGAGTTCAAAAATGTCCCAAGGCTGAAGTTCTAAACTCCATAACTCAACCTATTTCAATCGGATTTTGAAGTGGAATACCTCAAAATGTTTCTGACGCTATTCTCTAAAAATCTGCATTCAAATTTAAAAATCTATTTTTTTTTAAGTTTTTCGTAATTTTTCTGATGTGATGTGATGATGTGTTGTACAAATTCAAAAAAATTAAGAAATACCCCAAGGCTGAAGATCTAAACTCCGTAACTTAACTTATCTTAATCGGATTTTGTAGTGGCATAAGTGGCAAATTCGATATAAGGATTATCTTGGCTAAGCATTGTTCTATTGGTATCAGAATGGTTTTCCCATATACCTTGAGGTTTTGGGCTGCTAGAAACTAGTTATGCCCTTAATGAAAACAATTCATGATTAAGTTTTTTTTAGTGATTTCATTGCAGTTCATATTTTTGGGTATATTTTTTGTTAAGTCCATCAAAGCTTATGTTTCTCGGCGATCGGTTCGTGGTCCTTGGGCGTCATCACTGATTTAATGTCAGAGTATACACATTTCGACGTAACGAAGTAAGCCCTATTTAAAGTCAGAATTTCCGATCAAATAAGTGACCCAAAATTTTAGCGCAATTGCATTCTTGCTAAACAAAATTTTAGTCGATTTGGGCTACACTGAACGACAAGACTCACTTCGTTTATCTCTTTATCATTTATCAACATTAAATTTCTCCAAAAAGTATGCATTGCATTGGTGAAGAAGATATTTTAAAATGCTTGCAGTTAAAATGGGGAAGACAGTAATAAATATTTATTTTTTAATTAATTTGAAAGCGATCCAAAACTTAAATTTAATTTCAAAGATAGGAACATTAAATATTAACACTGTACTTATAGTGCAAAAGAGGATTAACATGATATACAATATTCTAATATATTATTAATATTCTCTTAAATGCTGTCGGTCTTAAATATTCATATTTTATAATAGCTTGATAGTATTAAGTTATTATAAATGAACAAATAATGAACATACTTGTACGAGCTAAAAAATAAATAACACAAAAAGGTTTTTTTTCAAAATTTTTTTTTATAAAATTTAGTACACGGCAAAAATGCTGTACAGCAAGAATATATGTTTCATATGTTTCTTCATATTCGCTGATGCAAATAAATAATAAAAATTGCGAAATTAATTTGAATTGCAATTAAAATCACTTTACGCTGATATTTCATTCTCCACATCATTTTACTCACCTCAGATCCTTTTATGGTTAATACTTGGTAAGCTGTATTTATCTAGAACTATTTAACCTTACTTATCAGACTGTATCTTACTTATCAGACTGTATCTGACGCTATTCTCTAAAAATCTGCATTCAAATTTAAAAATCTATTTTTTTTTAAGTTTTTCGTAATTTTTCTGATGTGATGTGATGATGTGTTGTACAAATTCAAAAAAATTAAGAAATACCCCAAGGCTGAAGATCTAAACTCCGTAACTTAACTTATCTTAATCGGATTTTGTAGTGGCATAAGTGGCAAATTCGATATAAGGATTATCTTGGCTAAGCATTGTTCTATTGGTATCAGAATGGTTTTCCCATATACCTTGAGGTTTTGGGCTGCTAGAAACTAGTTATGCCCTTAATGAAAACAATTCATGATTAAGTTTTTTTTAGTGATTTCATTGCAGTTCATATTTTTGGGTATATTTTTTGTTAAGTCCATCAAAGCTTATGTTTCTCGGCGATCGGTTCGTGGTCCTTGGGCGTCATCGCAGTCGTAAGGAGCTGGTGCTCAGTACTGGTAGCCGTAGGTCTGTGGCACGTAGGCGGCGCCGAAGAGCTGCTGCTGGTGCTGGGGCACGCCGTAGCTGGGGGCGACGTAGGTGGCCACCGGGGAGGAGTAGGCGCCGGCGGATCCGTAGCTGGGGGCGGGAGCGCTGCAGGGCACCGGGGCGAGGTTGGGCTGGCAGCTGAACAGGTAGTTCTTGGGGCAGGGAGGAGCTGGGATGCTGGAGCCGCCATAGCCGCCGGAGCTGGCACCGTAGGCGGACTTGCGGAGACGGGTCAGGTCACCGAATCCCTGTCCGGTCACTCCCTCCAGCTCACCGTCCTGGGTGGTCACCGTGGTGCCAGTGGAGCCGGTGGCCGAAGCCACATTGGTGGGCGAAGCCAGAGCGGCGGCGGCGAAGGCGACCAGAGCGATGCACACGAAGGATTTCATCTTGATTGTTGGTGTTTGAAGATTGAGCTGGAGGCGGATGGGAGCTGGTTGGGCTGCTGGTAGTTACCAAAGGTGACTGATGCCAATCCCAGGCATTGGGGCCTGTTATATAGCTGTCCAATCTGCCTAGTTAGCACTACGCGCAGAACTTAGTGGTCAGAACTAAAAGGTCTATTCTTCGTTTTTGCCTTGATTACTTTTCTGCTCCATCAGCCCAATGCACAAATGTATACCGCTGACTTTAGTAGCACCACATCGTCAGCTTTTTGGGGTCATCATCGGGCGGAGCAGCGGAACGTTTAGGTTGGCGATTTATGGTTGATATCTAGTGCATTGCACTTTGAGAGTGGTGGGAGTGACAAAAGACGCCCCCCTTTCAAAGAATTAATGTTACGAAATGGAATGCCAGACTTGTGACCCGTATATGAATGATGTGATTCGTGGCACATGATATTATATGTTCCATCTAATTATTAGAATCATTACTTAACTCTAACAAATAAATGTGTTAATGCCATTATATAGTATTTTATAATATACATATATGTCCATGATAATATGATAAAACGCTTAAGGAAACTTTCTTAAAGATTTGTTGGCTTTCTAAGCTGAACATGCTTTCTGCTGTATGAGAAAACTGACTTTTTCAGAAGGAATGTATAGTATTGATAACTTTACAGACTATAACATTTTTTAGATTTAAAGTTTTCATATCAATGAAATAAGCTTCTAAGGAATTTCTTAAGGGCTGAACTAAATCAGGAAGTTATGAAATATTTAACAGAAATATTAATGGTAATGGCTTGCAGCAAAAACAATTCCTTGAATACGATTCCTTACCTACTAAAGTCGTAAATAAATCAGTTTTGCGTCTGTTAAAACATCTAAAGTAGTAAAACATTTAAATATTTAATCAGGAAGAAAACTACTTCTGAGTCTGATAAATTAATTGTTACAAATTCCCCAAAAATTTAATTCGCTTGTATAATTTTGTATTAAAACTTCGCTAATGTGATTTAGTCCCCACAGTTTTCGGTCATATTAAAAAGCTTATCATATTCTGTAGTCACATGTCTGATTCAAGCTGTTTGGGAATTACATGTATCCCGAAAAGGAAAGTGTAAATTTAAAGTGTACCCCTTGAAATTCATTGACTTCAAATGCAGAAGTTGAAAAAACAGTAATAATGTTTTTACTGTGTAATGTGTTTATTGTAATGGCAAATCGGAGTCACTTAGTTCGTTTTCATAAACAAAATGGCAAGATGACTAATTTTTATTTCTTAAGAAAACTTCTGGTATACCATTATACCATTTTAATTATACCAAATACCATTATTATACCATTTTACCATATAATAATTGTTTTAAATTTAAGACTACCATTCGACAGCAATGCAAATGAATCATTTTAACTTTTAAAAACAAATTATTGATAGATCTTCCAAGAACTGGAGTTTCCGCAGCGAACTCATGTTGGTGGGCCCACCAATGATTACAGCAGTACGTCATATGTGAGTGCTGTGCAACAATCTTGTGGCAGAGTGAGCGCTAATTAATTAGTGGTATTTCTCGCTCACTCAACGGCTATTAAAAATGATGTAAGGCGGCACGCGATGATCGTCGGCGGTGAGGAATGCGTGCCACATGCAAAGTGAGGAAGTAACCGCATCGAATGGATACGACTAGTGATGACCACATGGGCGTGGACTGACTCACTGGACTTGGAGATGGGCGCATGGAGCGGCCACTTTCACTTGGTCATGGTCATGGCCACGATGGCTTGGCATTGCGTTGGACTGCGGACATGGGATGGCTGCAATCACTGGGTGATTATCACATTTCAGGCAGCCTGGTTCCCGCATACGAGAGGAAGTCTGGGTGCATTGTTAGCAGTTTGCCATGGCATTTGAATCCGAAATCGAAAGCTGAGGGGCAAAAGAAGCCGACGAACGAGCGACCAACTGACTGATTTCAGCCTTTTGCCAGCACAAATACTCGTAGTTGCCGACGTCATCACGGAATCTTTGCGGTCTGCGGATTAGGCATGAGAAATCCATAGGGGCAAGGGAAGGGCTGGGCGATATCTGCACGCGGATGAAATGGGAGTGGGAAGACCCACCATATTGTCCAACACATGGTGATAAGTCCGAGGGAAGGCAAGAACTCGCAACTGTATAAACAGGCGGCATCGAAACCGTGCAGAAGATGTGTATCTTGCAGATATTTTGAAATCAATTGTTAGATAATTTCCCATCTTGGTGTATATAAAGGCATACGAATGCATATCTCGTGATACTGTGTATAAAACTGGCGCGTTTGCATTAGTTAAATTTTTTTTTAAATTTACAAATAAATATTAAGTACATAGTACTTAGCTTAGATACACACAACATATTTGTGTTAGTCTCTTAAAAATATATGCATGTTTTAACTTTTAGATTTTCAAAATTTATTTTTTATCAAAAATCTATTTTATATATATGCCACAAGAAACCTATTTATTGATAATAATTATTGATAAACCTTGTAAAAATTATGCGCGCTTTAATAAATATGCCACTGTTTTAATGGCAGAGTACACACATTTCGACGTAACGAAGTAAGCCCTATTTAAAGTCAGAATTTCCGATCAAATAAGTGACCCAAAATTTTAGCGCAATTGCATTCTTGCTAAACAAAATTTTAGTCGATTTGGGTTACACTGAACGACAAGACTCCCTTCGTTTATCTCTTTATCATTTATCAACATTAAATTTCTCCAAAAAGTATGCATTGCATTGGTGAAGAAGATATTTTAAAATGATTGCAGTTAAAATGGGGAAGACAGTAATAAATATTTATTTTTTTAATTAATTTGAAAGCGATCCAAGACTTAAATTTAATTTCAAAGATAGGAACATTAAATATTAACACTGTACTTCTAGTGCAATAGAGTATTAACATGAATACAATATTCTAATATTAATATTCTCTTCATCTTAAATATTCATATTTTATAATAGCTTAACAGTATTAAGTTATTATTAATGAACAAATAATGAACATACTTGTACGAGCAAAAAAATAAATAACACAAAAAGTTTTTTTCCATAGTTTTTTTATAAAATTTAATACACTGCAAAAATGCTGTACAGCAAGAATATATGTATTATATGTTTTCTTCATATTCGCTGATGCTAATAAAATAATAAAAATTGCAAAATAATTTGTATTGCAATTAAAATCGAAAATTACTTTACGCTGATATTTCATTCTCCACATCATTTTACTCACCTCAGATCCTTTTATGGTTAATACTTGGTAAGCTGTATTTATCTAGAACTATTTAACTGTATCAGACTGTATCTTAAGCAAAAGTTAGGTTTTAAACAATTTTCCACCCAAGGTGACATAACAAAGCCAGAAATCATTAGAAGACTTTTATTTACAGATTGGTCAAGCATCAGCGTTTAGATAACTACAAAAGATTCTGGGAGCCCAGGGCCAGGCGGTAGTTGTATTCCTCGAACAGTTCCGGAGCCACTCGATACGGCTGGTCGATGAGTGAGAGGCGGATGGGCGTTTGGCACGGGGGCGTGGCATAGTTTGGGGCAGGTGGCGCCGCCGGTTGGTAGCAACTCTGCGATGGCGCTTCGTAAACGGAAGCTGGTGGCAGTGGAGCTGGTGCTATTGGAGTGGCATATGTCTGACCATCATACTCCACCTGGGCGGATGACTTCGATGCCAGTGGAGTGGTGAGATAGATGATGGGTTGGTAAAGGATCTGTGCCGGTGGTGCTGCCACGTAACTTGGCTGTGCCGGCTGGCTGTACCCCTGTCCCTTGCCATAGACTTCGGGTGTAGCCTGTGGTTGGGAGTAGCTCGGTGCTGGTGGCTCATAGGCGGGAGCTGGTGCAGCCGGAGCATTGTAATCAGCTGCTGGTGCTTCGTAGGAAGGTGCCTGTGGTGCTGGTGCTTCGTAAGAAGGTGCCTGTGGTGCTGGAGCCTCGTAGGCAGGAGCTGGTGGTGCTGGAGCCTCGTAGGCAGGAGCTGGTGGTGCTGGAGTTTGGTAAGCAGGAGCTGGTGGTGCAGGAGCTTCGTAGGCGGGAGCAGGTGCTACCGGTGCTTCGTAGGCAGGAGCTGCCGGCGCTACATAGCCCGCATCGCCATCGCCGGGGCCATCGTACTCGGGATTGGGCAGGACTCCGTAACCACCACCGCCGTAGGAAGGACTCTGTGGCACCGGTGCCACGTAGTTGTTCTGGCCACAGCCGCCGCCGCACTGGCCACAGGGACTGGGTGTGGGAAACAGATCGGGTAGTTTCTTGAAGAGCTTCATCTGCTTGAAGGGATCCAGATCTTGCAGCTGCAGCCCGTTGCAGTTGTTGGGCACAGCGGGCGCGGGGAGCAGTGGAGCTGGCGGATACACCAGATTGTTATTGTTGTTGCAGTTGTTGTTATTGTTGTTGTTGCAGCAGTTGTTGCGGGGGAAGAGATCATCCCACCACTTGAGCAGCGAGCGGTTGGTGCGCTTCAGCGACTCATTCGGGGTCACCAAGGGACCCGCATCCGCCATCAGATAGTAGAGCGGCTCCCCCGGCACGGCAATCCGGTTCGATCTGGACACATCCTGGGCTGCAGTGGACAGGACCACACCCAGCGCCAGCAGCGTCAGAGTCCACGAACTGTTTCTGGAGTGCATCATCATGCGGCGATTGCGTTGGTAGCACTAACCTCGCGGGTCGAACTCTCAATTGCAACTACCAGAAGCAGTGGCTCCCCATTGCAGCGGACTGCTGGAGCTGCAAACCACGGCGGATTAATGCCAGGTCAGCATATGTGGATACCTGCGATGGGGTATAATAGTTGGCCAAGTAAACACTGAAGGTATTATAGTGTTACTATTAAAGGTTCGGGTTTTCATAGCACCATATAAATTATTGAAATTAAGAATTAATGAGCTTAAATTATAAGTACGCATGTTAAACTACGAGCAACATAGAGCTGCTAACTTCATAGTAGCTTCATAGTTCTTAATCGTGAAATCATCTAAAGCAAAGAAAGGGTATTTAAAACTTATTATAAAGATTGGCTGGTACCTGCACCAGATTAAGACTGAACTTTGAGCTTAAAACCCATGTCTAACCCAATTTTTAGAAGCCCCAACAGGTGTTCCCAATTCGTCGAAGATCCAAGAGTCCCAATAACCTCGCTGGCAGGCCGATGACTCCACACACTTGTGTTTTCCTTATTGTTGACTTGCTTTCCTTATTGTTTATTCAAATTGTTCCCTTACGTGCTCGAAATTATTAAACGGTAGCGAACACCAGTCGAGGTTCCTGTTTGCTCCGTGGAGCGTGACTGCCTTGGCTTAATCCGCATCAGGCTGGCCAATCGAAAGCAAAATGCACTTGGCTGAACGGAAGTTGGTGGGGAAAAACAAAGAGATGTGCTCAGAAACACACAACAAATACAAATACATTGGTTGCCGTAAAATATACTTCCTAAAGTAATCATGGGCTTACTCATCGGCTGAACAGTGGTAATAATTTAAGAGGCGATCAATAATGAATTCAAGTATATATGTTCAAGAAAGTATTTATAGATGTCGACCGCATTGCTATTCGAAAACATTAATTACACCGCTGGCTAAAAATAGTAGCACGAAAAACATTTATTTGAATTTACATTTCTAAAATTCTAATATTAGGGAAGATACGTGCGGGAAACTTCCCAAAGCCAAAAAGCTCTAAAATAAAAGATGCAACGATTCAATTTTTCATATTCAGCATGAACAAATGATTTTGAAAGATCCCTTTATGCAAAAGTATCTTATGTTTTGATACATATGTTTTTAAGATACCTGCCTGGTAATAAATCTACTCCTCTGACATTATAAGTAAATCTTTATTTGGTTTGAGCGAACCATTCGCAGATCTTGGGACTACAACTGCTGCAGGTATCTGTGCTTTTGGGGGCTACGTCCGCTGGAACGCTGGCGGTGTCGCTTCCGTTTGTCCGTCGGCTTGAGAAGATCCGTCGCCTTGCTCACGATGGCCGGGACTCCGGAAGCGTCAGCGGAATCATCAGCCTCGGAGGCTGGGAGCGGTGTGGTCACCGCCGGCTCATCCTCCTTGTCAATGGCTTCAGCAGAGTCCTCATCCTCCTCACTCGCCAGGTCTTCACCCACAATGGGATCTGGCTGCTCTGAGCTGGGCGTCGCCGGAGTGCTGCTGGAAAAGTTCAGCTTTCCGCCTCTTTCCGATTGGGCTTCTGTGGATGGAGCAGCTTCTGTGGTCGAGACTGTGGCAGCGTCCTGGTTGAATTTGAACACACGCTGGAAAAATTGACCATTTTGTGCTGGCGGATTGGGAGCTGGTGCTCCCAGAATTCTGTTGAATGGATTGAAAGGGTTCAGGGCTCCGAAAGGTCCGAATGGGCTCATTCCCATTCCAAGCTGCATACCCATGCCGAAGGGGCCACCCACCTGGTGCTCCATATCGTATCCCTGTCCACCCATCTGAGGACTCATGCCAAAAGCACTTCCCAGCTGGGCTCCCAACCCGAATCCACCACCAAAGCCACCTGCGGGCGCCAATGGTGCTGGTGCTCTGGGCAGTCCAAAGTAGGGAGTCGGTGGCCGTTGTGCGTAGCAGGGCATGCTTATGATGACCGGCTGGAAACTCGGACAGTTGGTGCTGTAGCTCATGCCGTTGTCCAGTGGCGTGGGACATTGGATGGGTGGTGCTGTGGCAGAACATCCATTGCAGTATGGGTTGGAAGCGGGGGACTCATTGGCTTGGGAATAGGTCGGAGGTGGTGGCGGCAGGGTCGGTGGAGCAGGAGCCTCTGGGTATGGGCTGTAGCCGGGTCCCATTTGTCCCACCATGGGCTCATCCTGGTTGCCCACCGGTGCTTCCTGTGCGGAGTGTCTTTCGTCTCCTAGACTGCTGTAGAACGCCTTCATAACCGGATCGTTCTCGGGATCCTGCGTCTGCGACAGCGGCACCCACATCAACTGGTCTTGGGGTCGCTGCTGACTCACTGGCCTGCGGTACTGCTGTTGGAGCTCCTCTCGTCTGAATGCCACATCCGGCACGGCCAGTACATCGTCGTCGAAAGCGAATCGATGCCTGCCGCTCCCGGCTACTTCGTTCTCTTTGGGGCGACTTGGTGACCTCGCAAATGCTGCAGGATCATACGAAGGGGCCGTGGACGCTGGGCCTGGGCCAGCTGGAACTCCTGGTGGAGCTGCTGGCGGGCTGCCCACAGTTGGGTGATGAAATTCCGGCACGCCAGCTGACTGCGCTGGAGGTGCAGTTGGAGGGGCTGCCATGGGGCCTCCGTAGAATCCGTACTGGGCGTGGGGCTGGTGCTGCTGAGGAACAGGCCGGTGGTGGGGCTGCTCCTGGTATGGCGTCGGACCCGCTGGCTGGACTTGGTGAATGCGTGTGGGATCTTCTGTAACTGCCTGCTGGGGATGGGGATATGACCCGCCCTCAAAGGCGGGAAACACGGGAAAGTTGTGACCGGCATCGTGGTGTACAGCGGGTTGAGGGTTTAACAGAGGCATGTGCTCCATGGAGGGCTGGTTCTCAGCTCCTGGTACTGGGGAATCCGCTCCACGGCACATGTAGAATGGCTCCCCCTGGCCACCTTGGTTTCTGACCTCCACACAACTTTGCTGGCTGCTGTCGCCACCAAAGTTGGCTCCACGGCACATATAATACGGCTCATCCTGCGGACTACTTGGCCTGATCTCCACGCAGATGGTAGTCATGGTGCGTTTGCTGCGATGCAGAACATCCCCGGAAGCTGGGCTGACTTCATGTCCGGCTGCACTTGCTCCTGGCATCACCGATAGCCCAATGGCCAGGCATGTCCCAAGGAAGATCAGCTTCAAGGCCTGTGCTTGCATATCCATGTTCTTCTTCCGCTCACTAACTTCCGTTTGCCAATGGGCAGCGCTTTTATAGTCCAGAACCCTCTGCTGCGGAAGAAGATCCATTAGAGGCGCCTTCCAACTTGCACACAACTTACCCAACTTGGTTCCCCGAAGCAGTCTTTTGTAATTTTCCTCGTTTGGGAACTATGTATGTTTCCTCTATGGAGCGCGATGTTCTGGTGGATTGCACTGGTAATCGGAGTTTGATTCACCTGAAAATCGTTTCACTGAATAAAAACCCATGCAGACACAATTTTTGAACGGACCTGGCCAAAAGGGGTTCGAATCGTAGCCAAAATACACTTCCAAGTGAAGAGTTGGAGGCATTCCAAATCGAACCAGTCGACGTTTGTACAAGAAAAAGTTTATTTAATTATATGTGTATATATTCTATTTAAATAATAAATATTTCGGGGATACTGAAGATGGGAACGCTTTCTAAACCTATTTTGGCAAAGCATTCCTTACTAATCTAAGTAGTTCTCATGATAATAGAGCATCTGCATCCATACTTCAGCATATTCAATCGCTTCGATTTCAGCTGATTCCTGCAAGTTTCGACCAGCGATTTCGTTTGGCGTGGTGGACAGTTCAACAAACTCCTCGGGTTTCTTTCGACTTCAAAGTGGTCAGCACTTTCGTAAAGTGTGCGGCACATATGACACAAGTGTTTGCTGGCTAACCGACATTAGCCAAATCGGTCAGTCGGTCAGCGAGTGTTAGATTGTCGGGAGTGTAGGCCACTTCATGGTAACTGACCTGACCCACTTGGAAGACCACGTGGGAGGGCCTCCACTAACCCGGGATGACTAAGTGCGGCGGTGCGTGTTCCATGGTCTTTAAACTAAGTCAGTTATGTTCCACCTTCCGCCTGGAACACTTAACAAAGCAGAATGCAGGGTACGTGGGTTTTAAGGACTCACATATGGCATTCTTGCATAGGATGGGTATTATGGAGAAGTAGCGAAGTATTTCCTAGTCAAATCGCAGACGCTTTTTGATGTGTCGTCTACTTTTTGCGACAAGTAACACTTAAATTGTAGCTTACTAAACACAAATCGCAAGCGATTCCAACTACTGACCAAATTACGAGTTTACAATGGACAAGGATGAACGAGAATACTGGCATCTTCGATCCCTATACAATGAGGACATGCCGCGCTTTCCTCCAACAAACGTGGCTGAACCTCTAACCGCTCGCAATCTGCTTCAACTGTACATAAACACCTTCATTGGAGCCAATCTGGCCGAGTCGTGTGTCTTTCCGCTGGACGTGGCCAAGACCCGCATGCAGGTGGATGGCGAGCAGGCCAAGAAGACGGGCTCCACGATGCCCACTTTCCGGGCCACCCTAAGCAACATGATCAAAGTGGAGGGCTTCAAGTCACTATACGCCGGCTTCTCGGCAATGGTGACCCGCAATTTGATCTTCAACTCGTTGCGCGTGGTCTTATACGACGTCTTCCGGCGCCCCTTTCTCTACCAGAACGAGCAGAACCAGGAGGTGCTCAGGATTCACATGGCGCTGAGCTGCAGCTTCACGGCTGGCTGCATTGCCCAGGCACTGGCCAATCCCTTCGACATCGTCAAGGTGCGAATGCAGACGGAGGGCCGCCGTCGCCAGCTGGGCTACGATGTGCGGGTGAACAACATGGTGCAGGCCTTCGTGGACATCTATAGGCGCGGCGGACTGCCCAGCATGTGGAAGGGCGTGGGGCCCAGTTGCATGCGCGCCTGCCTGATGACGACCGGCGATGTGGGCAGCTACGACATCAGTAAGCGTACCTTCAAGCGCCTGCTGGACTTGGAGGAGGGCCTGCCGCTGCGCTTCCTGTCCTCCATGTGCGCCGGGCTAACGGCCTCCGTGCTCAGCACTCCGGCGGATGTTATCAAGACGCGTATGATGAACCAGCCGGTGGACGAGAGCGGCAAGAATCTCTACTACAAGAACTCCGTGGACTGCGTCCGGAAACTGGTCAGGGAGGAGGGTGCCCTGATACTGTACAAGGGCTTCTTTCCCACTTGGTTTCGCCTGGGACCCTTCTCGGTGCTTTTTTGGCTGTCCGTCGAGCAGCTGCGTCAGTGGGAAGGCCAGAGCGGATTTTAGGAGCACACACTCCGTCTTGGTATCGTATTTTGTAAGCCTTTTAGCAAGTAAAATATTTATTGACCTTATGAATTTTATGATTTTTATAACAAATGAAAAGAATTTTCAACTGGTAACTAACTGCTCATTATGAAAATAGTTTTAATCCCAATCGCAGCCTGTAATATGAAATGATTTTGTTGTCTTACTGTTTCGTAGTGTTTGTCTTATTTTATTTTTTATATTCCAATGCACACAACAAACACCAAAGACATATCGCTTAAATGGGAAAAAGCGTTAACACAGTCTTTAGGCCAGCGGAGTGGGATAACTCCGAGGAGCAGGAGACACCCAAGTTGGAGTACCTGGTGACCAACAAGAAGACACCGCCAGTGGAACTCTACCTCACGGCATTCGCCTCCGCCTGCAGTGCCGAGATCGTGGGCTATCCATTCGACGTGTGCAAGACGCGCATGCAGATCCAGGGCGAGATCGCCAGCAGGGTGGGTCAGAAGGCTAGGTACCGGGGTCTGCTGGCCACTGCCATGGGAATCGTCAGGGAGGAGGGTCTGCTGAAGCTCTACGGCGGCATATCCGCCATGCTGTTTCGCCACTCCCTCTTCAGTGGCATCAAAATGCTGACCTACGACTATATGCGTGAGAAGATGATCGTGCCCGACGCGGACGGCAGACCGCAGCTCTCCTTTCTGGGTTCCTGCATCAGTGGCGTTGTGGCCGGCGCCACTGCCAGCGTGCTCACCAATCCCACCGAGCTCATAAAGATCCAGATGCAGATGGAGGGCCAGCGGCGTCTGCGTGGCGAACCACCACGCATCCACAACGTCCTCCAGGCCCTGACTTCCATTTACAGAACGGGTGGTGTGGCGGGGCTCTGGAAGGGAACGGTTCCAAACACGTGGCGCTCGGCACTCGTCACCATAGGTGAGCCTTAAGATCGGGGATGAACCAGGTTCGGATGAAATAGACATGTTCACTGCCACCTGACGCCATCTATATCTGATTGTAAAGTGTATTACCGGGTAATGGGTATGCGATAGTCGAGGCAATTCATTTCTTCCTACTTTGAAAATGTTTAGAATACTTTATGAATTGAATCCAAGGCTCTAAACTACTTTTCTGATTTCCTCCTGAAAGGGGACGTCAGCTGCTACGACTTGTGCAAGCGTATGCTGATTGCCGAGTTCGACCTGGTGGATAACCGAGAAGTCCAGTTCGTAGCCGCCATGACCGCCGGCGTAGCGGATGCCATACTGAGTTTGCCAGCGGACGTGGTCAAGTCCCGGATCATGAATCAGCCCACTGATGAGCAGGGACGCGGGCTGCATTACAAGGGCTCCCTGGACTGCCTAAGCCGATTGGTGAGGGAGGAGGGCTTCCTGGCCATGTACAAGGGATTCCTTCCCTACTGGATGCGTGTCGGACCTGCCTCAGTGGTGTTCTGGATGACCTTCGAGCAGATTAGACATTTTCGCGGCAGTGAAGGTTACTAGGCTACTGCTATTTAAATTCTGCTGATTTATTATTTAAAAAGATACAAGAAAACTGTATTTGATGCACCACTCGTGGGCAGCTCCTAGGTCAATCCATCCGAACGAATTCCTTAGTGGATGGATAATATGGGTAACTTTAATGGCATTTGACCGCAGTTTGAATGATTGAATGGCGACCAATGCTAGCCAGTAGACAATCGGCCAAGACAGCGCTCCGAAGTGGTGGAAACTTAGATTAGCATACTTAATTGAATGGAACCAAAGTGGAAAACCACTCGCGACCCGCGGCGAAAGATATTTGAATGCTCCGTTAGCTGATGAAAACAAGGCACACGAGCATCAAATTGCGAGCCAAAGGCCATATAATAAATAATGTTTGATTAATTTTACGCGTTGCTCGCCTTTATCGCTCCACTCCAGCTTTTTCCATGATTAATTTGAGTTTTCACCAGAAATAGCGAAAACAAATGAATAGCGCTCGAACATTTCTAGAGAGCGAAAGTGAGCACATGTGGAGGCCAAATGTTGTCACTTGTTCCTCGCCAGAAATATCATTACAATTCAGACATTGCTGGCATGGATGAATAATGTGGGTCAATGTCTTCTCGCTGGCAGCAGCAGATGACAGGCGAGCAATAGTATGCAAAAACGACAATTACTGAAAGAAAAGGCAGCTGCAAAGTGGACGAGGCGCAGAGAAAAATTAATAAATAAATATGTTTTATTTATGAACATTTTTTGCTTATTTTTTGACAAAAAATAATTGCGCAGTTGCGTCAACCATTTGAAATGATTGCCCATTGGACGAAAATAACCTGGCCAACCAATCGCACATACCAAAAGTGGCCAACGCAGCGCGGACTGTCTTCTGAAATAATTAAAAGAAACCATAAATGCACAGAGAATTGTTAATGCGACCATGAAATGACTTTGGGAACCGCGATAGGAGCGCGGTTCAACGATCCATCGATTTCCGATAGCCACCACCCAGAACCCAGAACCCAGAACCCAAAACCCAGATACAAAGAACAATGCGCAAGGTGCTTACTTTTGGTGAGGAGCACACTCGGTTGTCTCACTCGCTTTTCATTTTAATAGTATTAAAGTATCGTATTTTATATGATTTATATCCATATATTTATGCAATCGGTTTTCATTTCAAGTTCTCCTTAGCTCGTAAGCAAATTGATCGGGAACTGTTGACTGGGAATCGAGGGTATGGAGCTGGTCGAGTCATGGACTTGGTTTTGGGGGCGTTTTCGTTCGGTTAGTTGTGTTAGAGAGCGCGAAAGAAGACCTTAGATTTGAGTTAGCTAAACGTAGCCATCATATGAATGTGGCTTGCTCATGACACTATCGTTAGGATGAAGGTGATAATGATACCCCGGGATCAGAATGAGTTATCCTAGTGCAGTCGATGGAAAATGGATAATGGCAAACTACTTTGAACGGAGAGTGAGAGAGGCACCTACTTATAAGACTGGCTGGCAATGGAAAACGGAATCTGAATATGAACGATGGAGCAGTTATTTCGGTATTGTATAGATTGTTTCGGAGTTCTTCCCATTCGACATCGTGTGGTATGATCATGTGTATAAAAAGTCGACCACTGCGCCTGGTACTCACGATTCTTCTTCCATTTGGGCATCGTCCCTCCACCACATACATATAAAAATAGAGCATCGTGGATCTTCAAATAGTTTACGTATATAAATATATATATAGAGATATTTATTTATACTGGTTGCTACTCTCCATCTCTGCCCTTCGCCTGGCTACCGCTCCCTCCCTTCCCTTCTCCACCTTTCCGTTCAAATCGAAATCTTCTCTCACTCACTCTTTCTATATATGTATATATATAAAACCTGCGTGTGGATTTATGCATGTACGAGTATACAATACATAAACTGTGTCGGTTGTGTAAATATTGCTATACAAAAAATCGTTCCAAAAAATGCCTGCGTTGCTTTGCGTTGTTGTTGTTCTCGGTTGTTAATCTTTTTCGATTTTTGGTTGCTTTGGTTGCATTTGCAGTTCTTTTCGCTTACAATTTAGGTTGCCAAATATATGTCTGTGTTTTTGTTTTTATGTTTTTTTTTTTTGTATTATTCTTTTTTATAGTTTTTTGGTAAATTTCGTTCAAAGCTGAGGACTGAATTCTTAATTATTGGGGCCATTTTATAGTTTTGTGTTTTCCTTTTATTTTTATCGTATAAACCAAAATGTTTTAAATATAATAATGCAGAAATTTATAATTTTGTTGTAGTTGGGTAATTATTTGCGTTTTTTGACATTTTTTTTTGTTTTTTTTCAAGCATATGCATTTTTACTCGATCCATTTCCTCTGCTACACACAAAAAACCGCAAATTCTTTCTTGGCCGTTGGTTTTCTTTTTTCCCATACATTTAAATATTAATAATTACTTTTTATGTGTTATTAGTTCATTTACGGTTCGCTCTTATCAAATTTGTTGCTGCTGTTGTAGTTGTAGTTGTTGGTGTGTGTGTGTGTATGTTGTTGTTGTGGTTGATGGGGGTGTTTGTGTTGATTTATTCTCCTAGTACCCGCAAGTAATCAGATAATCTCCAAGTTTCTCTACGACGGAAGCAGCCTGCTGGGGCTGAACGGGATCCTCGTAGATGGAAACGATCACGGCTGCAAGAGATTCAAGAAGAAGGGTGCATTAGTCATTGTGTTTCCAGTCAGTGAGATTAGTAAACAGATTTTGTTCGCAGAAATCCTGCATGCCACTCATATAGATACATAGCTCCTAGAAAAGGGACATGCATGTGACTTAAATGTAACCATTTCATTCGCAATTCCTACACAATTCCTATGCCCATCTACATTATCCGTTGGTAAACATTTTCATCGTTGGTAAACCATTGACACATTGCTACATTTCTCAGACGGTTGACAATGCTCTCGAAAGCGAGGAGAAAGCCGCCGTCAGCCGCCGGAAAAATAAGAACTAACCGTTTCTTGACAACAGCAGTAGCAGTAGCAGGTAGCAGTAGAAGCATCTCTCTATGCCAGCTGGAAATTATGAATAAAGCGATCAATAAAGAGCGCGCCAGTCCGCCGCAAATTCCAGGTGAAAACTGGACGGACGACTGACTGGCCGGCCGGCCAGTGGACAACTCGAGAGCAAATGAGAACGGACCCGATTGACAGGTCTCGAGCTGAGTGGCTAATGCATTAATCAAATGAGCAGCCAACTGATGGACACCCAATTGTCTGTGTGGTGTGTGTCGTGTGGGGACGCCAGCTCAGCAGCCGAATCGAATCATATCGCTGTGGGGTCAATAAACCCGGTTCGTACCCATGAGCCTTTCTAGCCGGTGAGCCAGAAGAGCGGCACCCAAGTGAACGCCACATTCGCACCACCACCGATGACCTGTCAACATATCAACAGTTTGCGGGGAGAGTCCACAAGTCAATAGTGAATTCGATGCGACAGTATCAATGGGTGATAACGCCACTCCATTTACATACCAATTATGAGCATAACAATAACCAACTTGTTAATAACGCAAGTTACCGACAGTTTTGTATGTTCTATATACATATATTAATATAACTTGCCTAGACACTTCTATTCACAAAGCAGTCTTAACAATTTAAATGAAATTTAGCATTAATTATATTTAATTTTATTGTTAGAAGAATATAATAATCAATTTATATATTGATATCTTTTGGTAAGCGTTTACTGAATGAATGTAAATCTATGTCTTGAACGAAATATCCGTTAAGTTGGCTATAATCACCTCAACTTAGCTACCTGCTGATGAAATTAACTTAAGCAGCCAAACAGTTTTTCGAGCATGACAAACAAAACAAGGCCCCCACAAATTGCTTAGCTCAAAAGTGGCTATTCGGTGACACATTTAAGGCGACTAGGCAACGCTCCAGCAAATCTCGCCAGTCACCTGGCTGGTGGGTCAGTCGGCTGGTAATTCGAGTAGGGCGCAAGGTGCAGTGCAGCCGATCAGCTGGAAGGCGCCTTTGGGAGACGAGGCACAAGACAGCAAACTACCTTCATTGGCTGCCTGCTGACCAGGTCCAAAGCGGACCAGCGAAAGACAGCAGACAGCATTTGCCATTTGTGGCCAATTTTGCTATTTTTACGCCACTGCCTCGGCGTTTGGCTGCACCGTGCAACATTTACACTTGAAATGGATTATGGCAATAACCTTGAGCTTGTCGATGCAGCGGTGGGCGGCGGGTGGTGGCGGTGCTGGTGGGCTGGCCGCCTTGTCTGTGTGTCTGTGTGTGTGTGTGCCAGTGCGCAACAGTTGCCGCAAAAACTGTACAAATATGGAAGCGCGGCTGGCGCGTCAGCAAACAAACTGGTCGTCGTAGACGTCGGTAAACAGCAAAAACAAAAAACCAAATTGGCCGAGAGAGCGCGAATGGGGTTTTCAAACGTTTGGCCATCTCGAGAGGCTGACAACAATGAGGCATCACTGCTCGTTGACCCCGAAAATGGAGCAAAAGCGGCACCAGCCACCGTAAAATTCTAATGATAACTCTCATTTTCCTTGAGTTCTTCGCGCTAAATGTCACAGATTTGAAAGTTGAGACAGAATTTAGGCAGGTTTTTCCCAACTCACTCAAAAACAAGGTGCGAGAAATCACTCAATAGAACTTTCAAATTCATTTTACGGTCTAGTATAACTTATCTGCCTTTGGCGTGTTGGGCTTTGGATTAAATTCTTTTCACCAGCGATAAGTCAGAAGTCTCGAAGAACGAGTGGCATTAAACATTTTGTAGAATGTCTTTTGCCGTTGCCGTTTGCCTTTTGCTTTGGCTGCTTTGGCTGGTTATAAAAAGAACCATCTGATAATGGTTATCGGGGTGGGGCAGACAACGCATCGATAACAGCGGAACCACTTTGCAGCCATTTTCATGCTCAAACTAGAATTTGTAGTTCCATGAAACCGGATGGCAAACTTTACTACTTTCTGTATGCATAAGTTGCGTGCTTTTTATATTTCTTTTATTTTTCATTTTTAAGCAAATTTTCCTAAGACAGCCGACGAAACCTTATAAAACGTAGACGAATTCGTTAAACCACAAGCAAAAGCTATCAAATTCCCTGAATTAATATACACTTTTAAAAATCAATGTTATCTATCCACCAATTAAGTCATTTTCGGTTTTCTCTTTCGGCATTATAAAATAAAGCCTCAAATGGGTGTGCCTTTCTTCTTGTATATTGTTTTGCACTTAAAACGTTATAAGGATTAGTAATGTCGAAGCTGTGACTAATCTGATCAAATTTGGGGAAACACATTCAGAACTAAATGAATCACGATACATTTCTGGCATAATTGTACATTTTTTTAACGATATAATCACGATAAGACTTATAAACATACTGTGTAGATATAGGCAATTATTCTAACCATGACAACACAATAAGTTTCTAATCTACTAAAATGAAAATAAGTTCAAAACAAATAATAAGAAATGAACAAATAATAAAAGACAATTATTTTATTTCGATAAAAACCTTTGGTTAAAAATCTATTGGTTTTGATTTTGGTTCAGTTCCCAACGCAAGAGAACAGCAAATGGAAAGATATTGAGATACATCTCATAAAGAAAAGATCTTATAAGGCAACCCATTTGCAAAGGTGTTTGCGACTGAACTGCAGTAAAGTAGTGGATAGTAAAACGCGGAAAACCCTCTGACATGGAAATGGTATCACAGAGAGTTCGGAGTTGAGTTCGGAAGTTCCAATTTGAATGCCAACTCACCTTGTGTTGTCTTCATGCAGTGCACTCCGCTCCGGCCGAGCTTGGCGCGCACCACGCGGTCTGTGCCGGAAAGGTAAATGTACCGCTGGCCGGCGAGTGTCACGCCGTTGCTGGTGAGACCGTCCTGCTGGTCGAAGCCGCTGATCAGTTTGGAGAGCTCCTCTTTTGACACCTGCAAGATGGTAAGGAAAGTTGGGAGTTAGTGGTGGAGTTAGTAATAGGCTGGTCTCGTGATCTTGTTGTATTATTTCTAATACATCAAATCATCTCAAAAATACATACTGCCACATCTATAGTAGTCATTATATGAATCAGAAACCAGTCCCAACTATATTGAACCCCTACTGCTGTAGACTAAACTACTTGCTTAAGCAAGAATTTCATCATATTGTGTTGATTGAACGCTCAACAATTCGAACGACCCTAAGGGCGCAATAAAGCGAACATTTGAACGGTGGTATGAAATATTAGTGGTATTGGTTCCAAATTATAGGGTAGCAGCCTGCGGGTGGAGGTTGCATGTTTTCGGGGCAAAAAACATGCGAGACATATGTGTAAAGCAAAACCTTATGTTAAAATATCGCGCTAATCAGCTGCAGACGACCCACGCAAACAAAGGCAAACCCACCACCACACCACCAACGCAACCACTGCGAGCAAACCACCACCCATTTGAAAACAGTTGGCACCATCGACGACGGCTGCCAACTCATTAGCAAATGTGGTCCACTCGATGCCAGGGTGGAAAAGGAGGGGTGTGGCACATGGAGGCTGTGGAGTTGGCTAAGGGATATGTTACTATGGGACACGGGATGTGTGCCCGTCTTGATTTTCGGATTTTAAAAACAAGTTTTGCACACTTCACCGACTTGTCCGTGCGGAGAGCGAGAGAGAGAGAGAGAATGGGACAGAAGGAGATAGAGACAAAGTGGGAGAGAGAGAGGCGCAGCACCAATGTCATTAGCCTTGGCCAAATGCATAACAAGTTGGCAGCCCCATCCCCCAGGTAACAGCTGCTTCTGCCGGGGGACAAGGTGGGAAATTAATTTGAAAATCTCGCACAACTGATAGTTACTCATTTGCTCATTCGCCGCACGGGGTGACACATTCGAATGCCACTCGAATTGGGCATCGAGAAGTTTCCATTGAGCGCAACGCGCGTCGAGTGAGAGAAAGAAATGTGGAGAGCGGAGCAGAAGAGTCGAGAAAAGCCGGTTTTGCGTAGACAGCTATGCCAAAAACGTTAATAACTAAGCAGAGCTCATTATACGGCGATAGCGAAAATTCCACAAGTGCCAAAAAACGTATTCACCATCTCCTAAATTGGTAGTTTTTCAAATGAATGAATGAATATGGCATTAGATGGCACTCAGATTCTGTCGCCTAAAGTTGATTTTCTAGATACAAAGCCATGTACATACGCACATATGTACGTTTATGATAAGCCTTAACTAGCAGCTCAAAAACAATCAGCGCAGCTGATCAATCGGAAAAGGAAAAACCTGAGTGTATTCACAATGATTCATGCGAATCAAGATCGAAACTGGGTAACTTGGGTAATGCGAAGTAGGGAAAAACAACAATACAAGGCAGCTGCGATGGCAGCGAAAGGTAATAAAACGAAAGTGATGCGCGTGCAGAAATGGGCAGGTAGATAAAGAGTGTGATGGTGACGTAGGCAGCGGATCGAATTTGCCCAAAATCGGTTTCTAATCCAATAAGCGGCGAGAAAACTTCATACGACAGACAAAGCACTAGGGAGTGGCAGCCCGAATCGAGTGGAATCTCGCTGGGGAGAGAGAGCAGGATAAGAGCACATGGAGTTGGAGTTCGATTCGTTTTCGTATTCGTAGTCGGATTCGGAGTCGACAGGAAGTTGCACACACACAGATACAGACACACTCACAGAAGGGCGAAAACGTGGCGCGCATACGAGAAATGCTCAGAGCATTCGCATTCGATGGTAGCAGATTCAGATTCAGAATCGAAATCAGTAGCAGCAGCGGAGTCAACTCCACTCAATTCGATTCACTCTGCGCTGGTGACGCGGCATCGCCTGCTCAAGATATTTTCTGTACTTCTGTTCGGTTTGGTTCTGTATTTCGCTCCAATGAAGAGAATTTATTTTGGCCGACGGCGCAGAGGAATTGAGTGCGATAAAGGCGAACGATAGCGAAGGGGTGGGGCTGCTGCTGGCAGGCGCCTGTGGGCTGCATTATCAGCAACCAGTGTTGCACAGCACCGCAGACACTTGAACCGGCTGCGCTGATATCAAATTTCCCGCTGCCGCTCCCCCTTCCCCATTCACACTCCACACACTCATCGCCGTTTGCAAGTGCACTGGTGTTTACCGCGAAGCGAAGCTGCGCCTCCTGAGTCACCGATAAACAGAAATCCATCCGTATCGGTTTGGTCGCCCAATTGGTCTCCCTGCTTCGCATGATCACGCACACTCCCTCAAAAGCGTCGGCGGGGGAGGGGGGATATTTGTGTGTGTGTGTGGAGCGGGCCTGCGCAGGAGTGGCGCTGCAGGGGGTGAAACTGACAAGGGCGAGGGCGATGGCGATAGGGTGGGAGTTGCTCTTTATCAAATGAAAGTTATCATGGCGGCCGCGAGAGGGAGACAGCGCGAGAGTCACACCCTTGAACTTGCGAAAATTCATTGTCAACTAGCCGTTTTCCCGTCCGTATTCCATAATGCCATGGGTTTTCCCACCCACTGCATCGTATCCATCCGTTTGACGTACTCACCTCAAAGCCACTGGACTGCGCCCAAATGTTGCCGTCGTGGCCGGCGATGCACGCCTTGGTCACGCACTGCGAGGCCAGGAGTTGGTTGTCCACATAATCTTGCCAGCTCATGGTGCTTTGTTTGTCGTGGGTGCGGATTTAGTTAAACTGATATATATATGGATCTGGATATGGATCGCTGTTGCTTTACCGCACGGCGAGTCGCACTTTCGTTTCGGGGGTCACACGAAATTGGCAGGGAGACAAAGAAAAACCGCAACACCGACGATTTTTTCTTGGGGTAACTTACTTCCAACTGCAACGAGAGGTGGAGAAAGAGAGAGAGAGATGAATTAACATTTATCAAATCGTATCGTATTTTATTATGCGGCAGTGGGTGTTGCATCCGCCCTTGACAAATTGCCGGGTATCGGCGGATTTGTGTTATGCACATATATGTATAATAATATATATACAACTAGTGATTTTGATTGTAGTGCATTGCACAAAGCGCCGAATTTTCCGCCTCCGAAAAACTCACATATACACACACACACGCACGGGGGATGAGACCAAGAGCAAGAGCAAGACCAAGGAGACCAAGACAGACAGAAACAGAAACCGTACGCCGCAGCTCCACACACACGTCCGACTCGCTGTGAATTTTCGAAGCGTTCGAGGCGGATTTCAAAAGTCGAATGAGCGCAAAGCAGAACCATAAACCGATTTTGAATTCGAGAAAACCCACTCGAGAGAGAGTGGCGAAAGAGTGCGCGCTGCAGGGGGCTGCTTGCCTTGCTCCTGCTCCAAAGCGCTCAATTCAAGCCGTGGTGAGTCACCCGCTCACTCACCCACTGCTTTCGAGTGAGGCAGAGAGAGCCGGAGCCAGGGCGAGTGCAACGGTGCGGCTGGAGCAGGTGTGCGAGCGAGACGATCGTACGAGGCGGGCCGTTATTAATCAGCCGGCTGCGGACAATGCAAATGAGCGAGTGAGAGCAGACGATGACTCAACAGCGGCTCTCCGAGTGAGTGTTATGAATCGCCACTTTCTTGGCCGGCACTGAGTAACTGTCATAAATTAAAAATAGCCTTTAATTTCAACGCCTATATGTGCGAATCCCATCTCACGTATCATAATGTGCTACGCTGCACCGCACCCGCAATATGTGTGTTAGCATTGGCTGCTTGACAAATCGAATGGAATACAGAGTACCGACCGAATGCCGAATACCGACCGGCTGCTGAACTTTTCCCACTTAATTTTTTGCACACTTATACACACAAGCACACACGCAAACACACTCGCAGACGGCGACGCACAGCCAACGCGGTTGGCCAAGTAGCGCGTACATGTGTGGGTTTTCGCCATTTAAGGCGTGCACCCAGCACGAAAGTCGATTTCTACGCAATTTACCCAAAATTTTGGTCGATTGGCTTTTTTTTTCTAACCACCCCACGTACAGTAAACCCAGAGAAATCTCTTTTTAAACAGATTTCCAGGAAACCCACGGCACTCACACTGTTCACACGCTGCGGTAAAAAATCAGAGTGACCGTCGATGAACGGTAGTGCGGGAACACAAGTCGTTGTTCACTCGATACAATCGATGTGTGCAGAAATTCGACCACGATATTCGCTACAATCGATTGTTTTCAGTGATTGACATCTAAAGACCCGGTTAGACCAGTGCCATAGAAAGTTCAAATTCACTTACGTATTTGAATACTATAAAATTAATACTTTAAATGATTCAACAACACGCAGGTGGTCAAGTTGCCATGACAAATGGCTGCTCAGATCCTAACGATTCAGGAAGAATTCAATTAATAACTGCAGATTTAGAACAGGTTCCAGCCCAACGATACAGGAACATTTCAATGAATACCTGTAGATATTGAACTCCCTACATTCATATATTGAAATTTAAAAATAAAAGTAAGCTGGGTGCTAATAGAGTTAACTTTGAATATTTTTTCTGGACAATTATAATACAATCAAATCAGTGGACTTAATAGGTCTTACTCAAATATTTTAAAATAAAATGACTGTGACAAAACAGTGTCAGCGCTTAAAGTTGTAGCAACCCCGGCCTCAAACCCTGGTGGAGAACTTTGATAGGTATTTTATCGATAGCAATTGAGACTCCGAAGTCCGACACCTAGCTCTTGCTATGCAGCCCTGAACTTTAGGTGGCACCTCCAAAATCACATTAATAAGTGCAAATTGAATCCAAAATTTTGGCACAATTTTACGTTACGTGCGTAGATACCCGCTTCGCTCCAAAAGCGCAACGGAATCGCTGGATATCCCCTGACAGCTGGCGATAGTTGGCGATCGAGCTATCGATAGTCGGTGATGTTTTCTTACATCACTAAAACTTTTGCAAGATGGAGCCTCTTTTGCTTGGTTTTAACAAATCAGTAGCAGCACGTGTATAAAAAGTGCCAAATAATTTTCAGAAAATGTTAGTATATTTCCTAGATTAAGCGTTCGAAGTGTGTTAAGACGCAAGGCGAACTCGTGCCGCATCGATTCCGCAACTGCTTTCCACCATCTCCGTGTGTTTTAATGCAGAAAAACGCGTTTTTAAATTTCTGACGGTCAGAATGAGTGGAAAAAAATTACACGCCCGAATGACAGTGCTGGGAGTGGGAGCGAGAGGCGGTGAGCGAGCAAGCGAGAGAGAACGAGCGCAGTGGTTGCTCAAAGAGAGTTTTGTTGCTGGACTTGTGCTTCCAGCCTCGGTCTTTGGCCCCGTTCCCCCTCGCAGAACGTAGTACTCCGAATTGGGGACATTTGCTAAAGTCCGGTGACGTTGGTCGCCACTTGACTGAATCTCACGCACACTCGTCCGTCCGCTTGACTCATGACTGGACAATGACGCAGACCGCTGATGCTATCTTTAGTGGACGACGGCATTCCGTGGGCTGATTTAGCCTTGCTTCATGTCAATTTTCGCTTTGCTTTGGAAAATTCGCCTGTCGTCTGTCGGTTTTCGTGTGTCCCCCTTCCAACCCGCCGTACTGTCATAACTACTGCTATTTTAAATCGACTACTACCATTCGCAACTGGCGTTAGGCAACACTGGCGCACTGTTACGTGCTTATATCGCTCGGCCGCTCTCGCCCGCTGACATTGACACGAACGACACTACGGTCGTCCCGCTCGCACACGCTCAGGGGCGGACTCTTGCCGCTCGTCGCTCAAAAAGGCTGCCTAGCCTATCGCTTACCGTCTCATACGTAAAGTCACCGCTTCGCAGAGCGCATCGCAGCACAAACGTAACGGACTGAAAAAGCAAAACGCTCGCTTGCTCGAGAAAACAACACAGTCGGCGTTCGGCTCAAATTCTCAGTTATTCGTTCTAGACAAATAGGCAAGCAGTTGATTAAGTGAACCGGGCCCAAGCCGTCGAAATTCAGGATATAAGTTTACCTAGTCAATTCTTTATTGTTGATAATGTGAGTGGTTGCCAAGCGGCGCTCGCGGTTTTCGATTCTCCCTCCACCGCCCGCCCTTACTTTTCGCCTTTTCTGCCATTCGCCATAACCAACAAAATGTGGCTGGAAAATTTTTTATTACCCCCGGTCCCGTCGCCACTATTGTAGTTCCGCCCCACTAACGCATTCTCGCCTCCTTGCAGGGATGACCGAAGTGAGATACCTCAGGATGGCCCCGCCGGCATGGAACCCGAGGGCGTCATCGAGTCCACCTGGCACGAGGTGTACGACAACTTCGATGACATGAACTTGCGCGAGGAGCTGCTGCGCGGCATCTACGGTTACGGTTTCGAGAAGCCGTCGGCCATCCAGCAGCGCGCCATCATTCCCTGTGTGAAGGGTCGCGATGTCATTGCCCAGGCCCAGTCGGGTGAGTAAACTGCTCTGGGTCCCCCAATTCCCCATATCCAACATCATCATCATCCCCCTCGATCAGTCACAAAGAAAAAACTTACGACACTGTGTGCAAATCCGGCGAAAAAGCAGCACGATGACTCAGCTGCTGCGCCTTGTATTCTTTGTTGAAATTCCACTCTGCAGCGCTCTCTCATTCTCTCTCTCTCCGTACCGCCCGCTCTCTTCGATTGTCGGCGTCGTTGCGCTTGCGCGCCACTTTTTGCTGACCAGCTGCGCTTCGGTTTCTCGTCCGCCCGGGCAGAAGAAAGTTCCCAGAAAGAAGGTCGCTTCCAGCTGCTATGCGTTTTAAGGTCATCTGTGCTAAATGCGATCTACCTACATGGCGAATTCGTCACTAATCCATTTTGCACAGGAGGCCATATACAAATGAATATAGAGTTCATCTACAAAACCCTTGTTTTGTATTCCACGTGCACCTGCCCATCGCAGTATATGCAGGGATTAGTGCCCAGTTCGACCGTGAAATGCCTACAAAGGTGAGGATTTTAACGATCCAGAGCTACCTGGCATAACGAGGGAAAACAGCGTCGAACGTTGTGTGTTTTCATGCAAGTGACTTTCTCTAACAGCTAGAACACCTTTTTGGTGAAGTTTACGCCTGAGCAACAGACTTGCAAAGAAAATGGGGAACTTCCGTTTTCCATAAGAATATCACGTAATTGGAAGAGTAATTATGCATAGTCAGTAGCATCGCAGTAATCTGCATCATCCACTGAAGTGCGGTATATATGTAGCAGCACACACGAAATCCCACATACTAACCATTCCATCTTAATCTCTTCCGTAGGAACTGGCAAGACTGCCACCTTCTCGATTGCTATCCTTCAGCAAATCGACACGTCCATTCGCGAGTGCCAGGCGCTGATCCTGGCCCCAACTCGCGAGTTGGCCACGCAGATCCAGCGCGTGGTGATGGCGCTCGGCGAGTACATGAAGGTGCACTCGCACGCCTGCATTGGCGGCACCAACGTGCGCGAAGATGCCCGCATCCTGGAATCCGGTTGCCATGTGGTGGTCGGCACTCCTGGTCGCGTCTACGACATGATCAACCGCAAGGTGCTGCGCACCCAGTACATCAAGCTGTTCGTGCTGGATGAGGCCGACGAAATGTTGTCCCGCGGTTTCAAGGATCAGATCCAGGACGTCTTCAAGATGCTGCCCCCAGATGTGCAGGTCATCCTGCTGTCCGCCACCATGCCGCCGGATGTGCTCGAAGTGAGCCGTTGCTTCATGCGCGAGCCCGTTAGCATCCTGGTGAAGAAGGAGGAACTGACCCTCGAGGGTATTAAGCAGTTCTACGTCAACGTGAAGCAGGAGAACTGGAAACTGGGCACCCTTTGCGATCTGTACGATACGCTGTCCATCACCCAATCGGTTATCTTCTGCAACACCCGTCGCAAGGTAAATTCACTCATTCTTATTATTTTGTGTAGCTGAATTGGTTCAGTTTCGATCGCAAAGCTGTTAGGTTTGGAAATCTATACCCAATTGCTGACAAAAAGGTTTGCCCTTTCTTCAGGTGGACCAGCTGACCCAGGAGATGTCTATTCACAACTTCACCGTCTCGGCCATGCACGGCGACATGGAGCAGCGTGATCGCGAGGTCATCATGAAACAATTCCGTTCGGGCTCGTCTCGTGTTCTGATTACCACTGATTTACTGGCGCGTGGTATTGATGTGCAGCAGGTGTCGTTGGTCATCAACTATGATCTGCCCTCGAACCGCGAGAACTACATTCATAGGTAACCTCGCCACTGAATGCATCTAGCTATGTGCTATACTAATCATGATCATCATCATCTCTCAATCCATTACAGAATCGGTCGCGGTGGTCGTTTCGGTCGCAAGGGTGTTGCGATCAACTTCATTACAGATGATGATCGACGAATCCTTAAGGATATTGAACAGTTCTACCACACAACTATTGAGGAAATGCCTGCTAATATTGCCGATTTGATTTAAATTTTTTCTGCTGAGCCGCAAAACAACTAAGAAAGAATTCTAAACAAAAAGTGAGTGAGCAAAACAGCAAACAAGAACTGCGAAATCGATAACCGAGCGCAACTATAAATTATTCAAAGATCAACAAGTCAAGTTAAATATTTATTCAAACATTAATTCGAAAAGGCAGCCGACCGACCACCCAAGAAAAAGGACTAAACCAGGACAGAGCAGCAACATCTTCCGCAGCGGCGCAGCAGCAGCAGCAACAACATCAGCAGCAGCGGAAGCGGCAGCAACAACACCTAGCTACAGCTTACCAAATATCGCCGATTAGCCGGAACCCTCTGTATCCATTTAGTTCTCTGTGTATCATCAATTTTAAAACTGCGTCGTCAACCAGCAACAACAAATATATACAAATATAAAAAAAAAAAAAAACAACAAAAACCCAACATTTGCATCTATCTAAAGAAAGTAATATCTGAAATCAGGTACAAGATACCAAGTGCTAAGAAGAGCGAGCAACTAAACGCAAGAGCCACAATATCAGAACATCTTTTTGCCGCACCTTTGTTTTAGCTTTTTCTAGAACTATTGATAAAAATATATTAAAAACAAAACAAAATACATATGTACACATTATGTTTAAATATACCACTCCTAAGAAACAGCTGACAAGCGAAGTAACATTTTACGCTAAATACGAACACACTGCGCATCCACCCAGATCTATAAATGTATTGACATATATCATTCGGGGTATGGCCAGTATTGCGCTCTAAAAATGATACGGTTGCTGTGATTGGGTACTTTGCATGATTTCATATAGCTGTGGATAGCCACAGTTGGGCGATTTCGTAGATCATGCTATGTTAACGTGCAGTAAGCAAGAGGGAAGTAAATTTCATATCTCAAAACAACCTGATAAATGTAGGTGCTTCCAAAGAGTTAGTAGGCAGAGTTTTTATGAATCTGTAATGTTCGCATACGTAACTTTTGAAAACCTAAACCTTGTTTAGTAAAAAGCTTCGTAGGCTTCACCATAATCAGCGAGTTGGATCCCAAAAGTTGTAGTAAGTTTAGAAAACTTGTTTTGAAATACCGCTCAGTGCATATAGGGTTACAACGCAGTGGGTACGTTGCATTTCGTTAAGCCTTCACATCGTCATATCGATTGAATTGCTGTAGTGAAGTTATCGACAATCTATCGGTTCGGTTTTCAGCCCTATCACGTAAGGTCATATTAATTTTTCAATCCGCCCAGTTGGACGTTTGGACAGTTTCCTTCCTCGCGCCGGTCGATAATGTTGGCCAACTAACACCGACCTGTAGCACGTCACCCGTAACAAGAACCTAGAACCGCAACCAGTCCAACTGTCCAAGATGGGCCAGAAAGTTTCGCGCACCGACTTCGAGTGGGTGTACACGGAGGAGCCGCACGCCTCGCGGCGCAAGATCATTCTGGAGAAGTACCCGCAGATCAAGAAGCTGTTTGGCCACGACCCCAACTTCAAGTGGGTGGCCGGCGCTATGGTGCTCGTCCAGATCCTGGCGCTGTTCGTCGTGAAGGAACTGTCGTGGTCGTGGCTCATCGTGGCCGCCTACTGCTTCGGGGGCATCGTCAACCACTCGCTAATGCTGGCCGTGCACGAGATCTCGCACAATCTGGCCTTTGGACACAGCCGGCCCATGCACAACCGGATACTGGGCTTCATCTGCAACCTGCCCATCGGGCTGCCAATGAGCATTTCCTTCAAGAAGTACCACCTGGAACATCACCGGTACGTGCCAATCGGTTCGAATTCATGCCCTACACCCCACCCTCACGCACACATGGGTATTAATACTTTTCTCTGGTTACAAGGGCGTAGTCACACAGTAAACAGCGAAAACACCATCCCATTGGTCGACAGGGGGCTGTTTGAATTTGTTCATTACAAAGCCGGCTTGTGTGGCCCAACACTGTCCGCTCTCTATTGGGTTTCACGTGAATTTTTCCCGCAAACTTGTGAATCAGTTTTCATGTTGTTCCATTTTGCCGGGCGTTCGTTCGAGTGCGTCTTAATTGCGCCGATTAGATAAGGCTGTAGTTATATGTGTATCCGAATAGGCGCTGAATTGGTCACGTAGCTCAGTGATTTGCCACTCGACTTCCCGGCTGTAAGTCGAGTTCAGTTGAGTCACCGCGTCGCTTTCCGCAAAATAGTTCCCAAAGATTTTTCAATATGATTTTATGACTGTTGTTTATGTTTACGGTCACCCACATTCACTAAGTTTCTAGTCACAGATAGCGTTTATCTTATCGCTCAGGTGCACCATTGGCCGGATCATTGATTGTCGTTCAACAAAGTCCCAATCCCAATCCGAATGTTCGCTCCTGAGTCCCAACTAAGTCTAAAATAAATCCTGTAGTTGATATCCAACAAACCATTTACTTTCTCGATGACTATCAGCATTCTAAAATGTCATATAATTATAACGTTTATTTTGTCCTTTCAGTTACCAAGGTGATGAGGCAATTGACACGGACATACCCACACTGCTGGAGGCGCGCCTGTTTGACACCACATTTGGAAAGTTTCTGTGGGTGTGCCTGCAGCCGTTCTTCTACATTTTCCGTCCACTGGTGATTAACCCGAAGCCCCCAAATCGCCTGGAAATTATTAACACCGTGGTGCAGCTGACTTTCAACGCCCTGATCGTTTACTTCTTGGGCTGGAAACCCCTGGCCTATCTGCTGATCGGTAGTATTCTCGCCATGGGACTGCACCCGGTGGCCGGACACTTTATCTCGGAGCATTACATGTTCGCCAAGGGCTTCGAGACCTACTCTTACTACGGTCCGCTCAACTGGATCACCTTTAATGTGGGCTACCACAACGAGCATCACGACTTCCCGGCGGTGCCCGGCTCCAGGCTGCCAGAGGTTAAGCGCATCGCCAAGGAATTCTACGAAACAATGCCACAGCACACCAGCTGGACCCGGGTTCTTTACGACTTCATCATGGACCCAGCAGTGGGACCTTACGCACGCGTCAAGCGACGCCAGCGCGGCCTGGCCTCCTAGGCCATCGATGCTATTCAAGGTTTCATGCCATGAATGTAATCTCAGCGTTAGACCTAAAGCGGCTTTTTTATGTATATATACAACGTAGAGACATTTACAGCGGATGCAGAAGAAATAAGGGGAACAACCACAAGCACACAGCGCCAGCTAATCGCTGTGATTAGATAAAGGTACTCAGACACTTGCAGCGGCTGATATGAACAATTACGTGGATATAGATTTTGGTATTAATGCTAGAGTGTGAGCTTCGTTAGGTTCGTTGGCCTAACTGAGAGACACTATTGAGCGCTTTAATTAATTGTTACCTCATAAATTGGAAAGCCTGTTAAACCTAGTGTGTAATATTTGTCCTATTATACTATTGTCTTAGTATTTTCGATACATATTTATATTGCTTTCAAATCATTATGTGCAGACTCGATTTGGTGTGATTATTCCTTATCGCCACCCCGGCCAACAGCAAGCCACTAATCAAGCAACCAACTACTATTTTTGATAAACTCTTGAAACTGTTACCTAAGAATAAAGTCTAACTAATTTGCCGGGGTGGCTGCATGTACAGAATACACTTTAAACTTGTAAGCAAAATAATGCAATAAATAATAACATCGTATTTGTAACGACTCTGTGACCAATTAAACTTTTTGAAGCTTGAAAAGTTATTGCTAACGACGATTGCATGTCGCACGTCATGTGGGCACATAGCTATCAACTGATCATAATAATTTCGATAAGCACCTGTGGAACGACATGGTGGCAATTCGGTTATATGAATTGCTTGCTAGATAATTGCCGGACCCTGGAGAATTCGCCTTTAAACTGGACACTTAGGAGATGGAGCATGTTTTCCTGCTTTCACACCAAACTATGTACGCTTTAATTAGTTAATCTAGCCTTCTGTGTTATCTTTACTGCGGTGTATCATCCATGCGACAAATCAATCTACGAGCTCTTGAAAAGATTTGGTCTTTGAAGTTTTAGTTAGTCAGTCCTAATCTACGGAGAACCCTATAGCTATGTATACATATTACTATCATGCATATCAATTCTTGGGAATTCTTTGCTTAACATTTATTCAGTGTATTTTCAGCTGAATGAGTAATGTCCACATGCCGTAGACGTGGATCACAGTGCATCCCTTTTATAAGAAGGCTAGTTCTTGAAATACCTACCATTAGCACGATCGAAATAACTGACAGCGACACACGGGTTCTTTTAAATACTATTTATATATAATTTATTTAAATTATAGAATTATATATTTTGTTGGGGGAAGGTATCGTGAGGGCAAATGTTTTTTATATTTTTGGATCATTCATTGAAATCAATCGTACATTACTGCTTAATGAAATAAAATTATTATCCTTAATATGTTTAGGGCTCTGTTTTGTTTCCGTTAACGTTTATCTTGGGTTGCTTGCAATTAGAACCTGCACATTTGTCAGCTTGAGTTATTTATACACATTTAAAAAATGATTTTACAAAGTGTTTTTCGTTTTTTTGTCTGCTTTTTCAATTGCATAATTCACTGTGTTTATTGTTGTACGTTAATATTACCAAGATGTTTTGCAATTTTTTTGTAATTTTTTTTTCTGTTTTGTAATTTGTATTTACTTCCACGTTGCTGGATTTCTAGTCAACTTACTAATTATAAATTAAAAATTATACACTTTTCATTGTATTTTAAATGTAAACTTAAATGTATACTGAATTTTTGTTTTGTATGATCGTTTTATTAACAGGATTTTATTTTCGTTTTTTTTGCTGTTGTTTGTTTGTTTCTTTAATATTTTTAATGGGGATAAACAAGAACATACAAAGAAAGGAGAGTCTACAAGGCGCCACGCGTAAAAGTGGAAGATTCTTAATGTTTGAGGGTTTTTGCTCGCAACCTTAAGTAAACAAAAATGTACAAAAGTAAAACGAGAGTCGCCTTCGCCTTCCGTTAGGGGGAAAAGTAAAATAAAGCGCAAGAAAACTTCGCGTGCGCATTGAACCAAAACTCGAGAGGCGAACACAAAAAGTGAATTAAATTAACAAAAACTAAGAATAGCAGGTAATGGTAAAATATATTATAAAATTAAAAGAACGTTTAACGAACGTAAAAATGGGCTGAATTGTACAAAAACAAATAGTTGTGTTGCTTTGTTTGCATTTCTTCTCTTTTACTTAATTAATAATCCCTATTCTTGATTCTTACTTTCCTTTTGTTTTGTTTTTTGTTGTTCTTTTTTTTTTGTTTTTGTTTTTTTTTTTGTGTTTAGGTCGTTTTCAAATGTGTTTTACGTTGTGGATGCGTAAATATAGCGATAATTGGTAAATATGTACTACAAAAACTCTCAAGTGACTTTACTAAACTTAGTAAATACCGGTAGACGGCCTTTATCGGGTGTTTAGTAGTACATCATGCGTAAAACACAATCGGCTGTTACTGCAAAATCTAAAACTTATCGACCCGGCAACTCCTGAACTCTATACTTTACTCTACCGCGCCGATTGCACCGCCCGCTGCTTTCCCGGCGTCGTCGTGGACGCTACGCTCATACTGTGACCGGAGCCCTGTGTTCCGATGGCTACCGTCTTGGTGCATCGGATGCAGATATAGTCGTCGTCCGGCTTTATCTGGCTGCGATTGAGGCCCACACAGTACATGTGAAACCATTCGTTGCAGCCGCCGTCGCACTGCACCCAGTCCACCTCTCGCCCGGTGGGCTTGTGGCAGTTCTCCGCCCGGCACTCCTCCTCGTCGTCCTCTTGCGCCGCCTGCTGAGACCGTGGCGCGTGCTTCTTTTGACCGACAGTCGAGTTAGTGCCTCCAGTGGCTGCTCCCTGGGCGCTGGTAGTGTTGCTGTTGATGTTGGTACTGCTGTTGCTATTGTTCGTGTTGTTATTATTATTATTGTTGTTGTTGGTGGTGGCGGTTGTAGAGGTGCGCTTGCGCTTTTTGTGCGTCGAGCCGGGTGTGGGCGTAGTCGTCGCAGAATTGCCACCAACTGATCCAGTACTGGAGTTCGTATTACCGCCGTTGGCCTGCTTGTTCTCGGCATCGGCATCCGCACCCGGTGTTGTCGATGCTGCTGGCGATGCCTTAGCATCGCTCTTGCGACCCGCTGCCGCTGATCCCTTCTTGCCCGGCGTCTGCTTCGGTGTGTTCTGCTTCTTGCGCGGCACGACTGAGTTGCCGCTGGCGTCGTTGGAGCGCCTCTTCTTGTTGCGTCCGCTGTTGCTCGCAGATCCCGTTGCCCCACCACTGTTGCTGTTGCTATTGGGACTATTTTGTACCATCAGACTATCGTTTGAGTCTTCGGCGCCGGATGTGGGCAGCGGATTTGGTTGCTGTTGCCGCTGACGCTGCATGTACTGGACAACTCGCTCCATGGCCTCCGCTTGCAGCAAGGTAGGCGGCATCGTTTCTAGAATTCGCCACAGTTCTTGCGTTTCGTCTAAGGATACCTCTAACAGGTCGCCCTCCATCATCAGGTCAAGCAAATTTTCAATTTCACTGTCGGACAGCAGCTTGAGGAGATCGGAGTTGACGGTGGAGGTCGCGGGAACGGTACGTGGCTCATCTTCATCGTTGCTAAAGTTGTCTTCGACGATTCGAAGACGGCATTCATCGTCGTCGTCATCGTCATCCGCATCGGACTCTGTGGAACCACTTGCCTCTTTCGTCAGGCTGCCACGTCGACGTGGCTTTCGTGGACTACTGATATTGCCCACCCCTGATCCTCCTTCGGAGCGCCGCTTTTGCTGCTGCTGAGCCAGAATCGCTTCTTGGGCCGCACTGACGTCAGGACTGCTAAGAGCCTTCCTGGCCCGATCCTGCCAATTCATCGCACGCTCCGCCAGGCAACGCAACGCTTCGTCTTCGGGCAAACGGATGGGCAGTTGCTGCAACTGGACGAGTAGCGGAAGGATGGTTTCTAGGCGCGGTCGCTTCGAGCGCACACAGCTCGGGCATAGCCACTTCGGTCGATTCGTACCTGGTCCTGATCCCCCATTAACAATTCCATTCTGATGTGCGGTTGAGGGCGGTGGGACGCAGTCCTCGTGAAACCAATCGCGGCACAACTGACAATTGAACATTAAGTTTCGGAACTCGGACTTGCACAGGCAGAACATATCGCGCATAGGGTTTTTGCTTAAGTTTTGTCGTCGAAGCTCGCGCATATCCAGCAGCTCCTGCTCCTCAGCGTGCTTGAAGCTGGCCACAATCTCCGCTGGATTTTTCTCTTTCAGAAAATCATCCTGCATAACAAAATATATACAAATTATTGAACGGTATGGTTTAGAATTGTAGGGTCATAATTACCTGGAAGCGCGGCTTGAGATCCGAGTCTATATTGATGGCGTCCGACCGGGGCATGAGAACCTCTAAGAGCGTATAGAAGGTGCCCTTCTTAAGGAAGGCACACGCTGTGTTGTCCTTCCATTGATGTGCACTGTTTAGGTGTCCCTGCATGCGGCTCAGCTCCTCCAGCTGAATGGGTATGTTCATGCCGCGCTCGATCATTGCCTCCAGTGTGTGGCAATATGTGACGTGGTTGTTTTGCTGTAGCTGCTCAACGGCCCGTAGCCACTCACGCGCCTTTCGCAGTGCATCCTTCAACAGTCCGTGCGAAGGCACTTGACCATTGATGTCGGAGGCCGATTTCAAGAACTGCTCGATTTCGCCCAACTCGTGCTGTTGAGTCAGTCGTCGGAAATACTTGGCCGCCTGCGATTCCCAGGCTTCGATATCGGCACCGATCTGTTGCAATTTACGCATCTCCTTGTCGACATACGGATCCGTGGGATCAAGGTCAGCAGCCGCCATGTGCAGCAGATTCTTCACGTCTTGGTAGGTCAGCTTCGAGCTGGTCTCCCTCAATCCCTGCGAGCGCTTGTACCACTTGCACTGCTTCAGTCGCTTCTGTAGTTGGTCGAGCTGTTGCAGTTCGATGCGCAAGGAGCTACCTTCGTTTATTAACGTTTCGAGCTCACTCTCCTCCAGCGACTCGAGCGATAACAGCAGCTGGCCCTCGGATCGCTCCACAAACTGTTTTCCCAAAACAAGCAGCTCTCGCACCGAAGCGCCCTCGTCAATGATGCAGCAGAGATTATCGATTTCTTGAACGAACAGCTCTAGCTCCTCCATGGTTAGCTTGTACTGAGCAGCTTCCTGGTTGTGGTCCGAGCGAGTTCGCACCTGATAAATGGATATAGAATTAGAGGTAAGCTAATTTAGGCGGATATTTGGCTAGCGTATAAACAAATAAGTGGCAAGATATCATAATAAGATATTACAAAGTGTAGAATAGGTGAACTAACCTTATTGATGCCCAGTTGTTGTATGACTGTGACGCATTTCTCTGCCTCGACGGCCGCTGCATTAAGCCGATCGATGAGCAGCGAGGAGGGGAACTTTTTCGTCTCAGCCTCCTTGCACAACTCCTGCAGTTCCTGCAGGGTCACCGAGGTGGGTGTATGTGCATCGACTATGTCACGGCAACGTGAAAGCCATCGCTCGAAGCTGTGCGCCTTCACCTTCAGTTTCTGCAGCATCAGCGGCATCTCGTCCAGTGTATAGCGATATATCAGGGTGTGCTTCTCAGGAGCACAGCCGCAGAGCAC